CAAATGGAATAGCTAACCACAAGGGGGCATGATTTTGACTTTCATTTCTTTGAATAAACTAACACCAGGTATATGTATAGTGTACGCAGGGTTAAACAACTACTGCATCATTCATTTTTTAAAATGAATGGGGTGGAGGTTCAAGAGGGTGAGAGAATTCCACCCAGGCTGTTCACTATTGGTGCAGAGCCCAACGAAGGACTCGGAGTCATGAATAGTGAGACCATGACCTGCGCTGAAACCAAGAGTCAGACGTTTAACCCACTGAGCTACCCACCTGACCCTGCATCATCCATTTTTATTTTTTTAATGTTTATTTATTTTTGAGAGAGAGGGAGACAGAGCGTGAGCAAGGGAGGGGCAGAGAGAGAGAGAGAGGGAGAGAGGGAGACACAGAAACCAAAGCAGGCTCCAGGCTCTGAGCTATTAGCACAGAGCCAGACATGGGGCTGGAACTCACAAACTGCAAGACCATGATCTGAGCCGAAGTCAGACGCTTAGCTGACTGAGCCACCCAGGCACCCCCTATCCCATTCATTTTTAAGTAAGAAGTTTAAATACCACCAAAAATATATTAAAGATATTAGTCAAGTGTCTACAGATCTCAAACCATACAGTTGAAACTTCCTCAGACAGATATTTTCACTTTTCACAAATTTAGCTACATTTAATAATAAGCGCATGCATATGGACTCAGACTTGAAAATCGTTCCTTTTATTTTTTTAGCATAGTATATGAGTATAGTCTTCAACTTGAAGTAAGTAGCATGAGGCGTTCCTGATAATGGGGTAAAATATATGACCAGATACCTAGGACTGGGTACTATTTAATGGCTGAAAATTATGACAGAAAGTATTTGGAAAAAATAAAGAATTTATTATCTCACATAATTAAAAAGTTCATTGGCTTCCATTTTAGATTTACTTGTGCTCAGGCTCCTCAGAATGGCTTGGAGCAGATGCAGAATCACATCTTTAAAAGTGTGTGTGTGTGTGTGTGTGTGTGTGTGTGCGTGTTCATGTGGGTGTGTGTCTTTGTGTGTGGCTTTCCACTGAAAATAAAAATCCAAACTGGCTTTTGGGATCTCCAAGGATCTGTATGTCCAGGTTCCATTTATTCCCTTCAAAATCATCTCACCAGGGTTTCTTCTCTCTCTCTTTCTGATTCATCCATCCATCCATTCATCAACATTTCATTCATTTATTTATCAATTTATTTATCAATTCCTTCATTCATTTAACATTTCAGCCACACTGGCCTCTCTTTTACTATCCAAACTTGCCAAGTCCTTTCCTACCCAAAGGCAGGGGGCCTCATTCCCCAGCACTACACAAGGCTGGCTCCTCTCATCCCTCAGGACTCATTGCAGGTCCGGTGATGTTCATTCCACTCTGACCCTAACAAACCTGCACACTACTCATCTCCTTGTAAGCATTCATCACAAACTGTCCTTACTTGTTTTTTTTTTTTACATATAGTGTTTTTCTAACTAGAATGTAAGCTCCAAGAGGCAAAGACCTTAATTTTATCATTCACAGATGTGTCCCTGGTGCTTATATAACAATAAGCATTCAATAAATATTTATAGAATAAACATATTACTTCTAAAAATCAAGCAACATAGAAACTTACAAAGAAGAAAGCAAAAGCATTTTTTAAATCATTCATAATTCCACTACCCATATACAATAACTATTATCACTTGGTGAATGTCCCATCCCTTTTCTTTGAGCACTAAAGTTACATAGATATAATCCTTAAATGCAATGATACAATGTACTATTTTTTTGTTAGGTTTTTATTTTTACTCGAATTTGACAACAAAATAACAAATGAAGCTGAAGGAATTACAAACCATCAGGTTATTATTTGTTGACAAGATACAATTACTTCTAAAATATCCTTCTAAAATTAAGAAACAAGATTATGAAAAATATTAAGAGTCTTGAATCGATATTTTGTAACTACATGTTCCAATTTTGGGCAGTTTCTATAACTTTTTTTTATTATGTCAATGTTATTTACATTTTATTCCATAACCTTAATTTCTCACAATTGATCTCTTTGTTTAATAACAATTTTTTAAAATGTTTATTTATTTTTGAGTGACAAGAGAGACAGAGCGCCAGCAGGGGAGGAGCAGAGAGAGAGGGAGACACAAAATCCGAAGCAGGCTCCAGGCTTTGAGCTGTCAGCACAGAGCCTGATGCAGGGCTTGAACTCATGAACCATGAGATCATGACTTGAGCCGAAGTTGGCCGCTTAACCGACTAGCCACCCAAGCGCCCCTGTTTAATAAAAATTTAAATGGATTAAAATCTTTTCAGTTGCTTTGTTTTTACTGTTAACTTCTTTAATACTGAGTTTTTAGTTTGATTACTCTCTTGGTTGACTGGATTTCTGCCTGAGACTTTATAAGAATTGCTCTTCGGGGCGCCTGGGTGGCTTAGTCGGTTAGGCGTCCGACTTTCGCTTAGGTCATGATCTCGCGGTTTGTGGGTTCGAGCCCCGCGTCGGGCTCTGTGCTGACTGCCAGCTCAGAGCTTGGAGCCTGTTTCAGTCTGTGACTCCCTCTCTCTCTGACCCTCCCCTGCTCACGCTGTCTCTCTCTCTCTCCTAGAAATAAATAAAACATTTAAAAATAAATAAATAAATAAATAAGCATTAAAACAAATTTAAAAAAAAAAAGAATTGCTCTTCGATATTGTATTTTTTGAGTTTTTGCAGATTTAGGAGTATTAAGCTGTGGCTTTTTACAGCATCCACTTGGCTCTGTGTAACATTTTGGGTTATGCTTTTATTCTCAGCCTCTTTTAGATATTGCACCATCCTCTAGCATTAGAGCTCATAGAGAAGTCTAAGGCCTTTGATGTCATTCCCCTGTTTTCCTATGTTTAGCAACTTCATAGGAATATATGTTGGTGTTAGTTCTTGTTAATTTTTCCTGCTGTGGACTACTACCCGGTATCTCCAGCCTCATTTTCAATACTTCCTTGCAGGGGGCATGTCCACCTTGCCAGCTGTTTGTCCTTCTATGACCTCATGTTGCTGCTTTATATCCCTCTGGCTTGGCACAAGTTAGTGACATTCCCTCATCCCTACCCTTACTCTGCCATTTGCAGCTACTCATTCTAGTTGATTTAGCTCAAGCATGCCTTCGTGAAGACTTCCTAGAGTACACTTCTCAGGTGACCAGCCACTTTTCCCCTTTCCACTCTCATGAAATGTTACATGTAGCCCTAGTATTACACTGGGTACACCGAATTCTATTAATGGTTTATGACTGTCTCACATCCAGCACTGTGAGGTCCAGGGGGACGGGTGCCTAGCTTATATCCACAAAACTATGCGATTTAAAATAGAGATCTTGTTGATTAAAAAAAAAAATGGAAAGGTTGAATGGATGGATAGCAATTGGACAAATTACTGAACAGCTAGTAAACCGAAAAAGAGTAAATCTGATACAGTTCGAATGCTCTGATAAGCTGAAGGCTATGCCTTTAAGGGACATTAATCGTATACCGGATGTCAGGATAGACAACAAGTATCAAAGACAAACCTACAGGTGAGTGAGTACAAAAGCCTAACTTCCTCAATGCAGATGACAAGTGTCCTCTAGAGTCCCGTGTCTGCTCTCCGGTGTCTAAGAAGATGGGTTGGAACGGCCAGCCCTTCCCCTATTTGGTGATACCTGCGGCAGAAGCTCGCCACCGCTCGACACTAGCGAGTGACAATTAAGCTTTTCGTTCAGCCTTCTGCGCCCGGAACCCAGCAAGGCGACCAGCGGCGCTGGGATAGTTTTGCGCATGCCCTGTAGGTGCGGAAAAAAGCCGTCAGGTTGCGCCTGCGCTTTCAGTCGACCTTGCTCCGCCTTCGCGGCCGGGATACCAGACCAGGGGAATCCGGGCGTGATGGTGTTGCGGTGCCAGGTAAGGGTGGAGCGCTCTCCCAGGTGTATGTGCCCCCTTTCCTTCCCTTCACACACCCGGCCCCGCTCAGCCAGATCCCCACCGAAGGCGCCTTGGTCGAGTCTTAGGTCCCAGGGCCGCGCCCATTACCACCAATGTGGCCCCGCCGGGCTTCGGAGGCTTTGCCTCGGCGCCTTTGCTTTGGTTGCCCTAACGAAGTTCAAGTTTTCTCCGCGAACTCTTGGTCTCCGAGGTGCGGCGTCAGAGGTTTCTAAAGGCACCCTCGGTAACCTTTGCCCCCATGGTGCTCAGATTATACGTTTTGGCGAAGACAGTTTTCAAGATAAAAATGCACATACTGAGAATTTTTGGGAAAAGAAGGTGCTTCATACAAGCATTTGCAAGCCTCTGATTATTTCGTAGAGAAAAATCTTGACAGTGGAACAGGTGGGTTATTTTACTTGGCCAGATTTGTGAGATACCAGGCTGATGGCATAGGTTTGTCCTAGGAAATACCAATATATCTTGTATTGCAAACTCACCTGTTTTTACAAATGTACGGGTTTGTATGTTGCATAACTTAATCCTTGGCAGCTGGGTTCAGTGTAATGTGGACTTGAATCAAAGGTCCTACGACAACTGTGAAAGACGTCTCTCTCTCTCTCTCTCTCTGTTATTTTTTTTGTTATTTACTTGTGTAATTTATCTCGTGACTGAGACATCTGTTCACTCCTTAAGAGTTTATAAAAGGTGCTATAATTTCATGTCAAATAAAGACCTACTTCGTGGTTTTTAAGAAGATACCGTTAGGGTTTTAGTTGTGGCAAGCTTGCGTTCATAAATTTAAAAAGCACCTTGAAATCAGTCCGAATTGTGCTTAAAACATAAAAGAGTTTTCAAAATTTGAACTTGTTATACTAACATTTTTATGGATGATTTAATTTTCCCTAACTTAAAATTTGTCTTTGATTCAAGTAATTGGAAAACAAGAGATCCCGCCGAGACAGAAAATGTCTATTACGGTTATTGTTAAAGGTATTTTCTCTCCTTTTCAGGTTGAAGTGTTGTATTTTGCAAAAAGTGCTGAAATTGCAGGAATTCGCTCTGAGATCATATCTGTGCCACAAGAAATAAAAGCATTGCAGCTGTGGAATGAGATAGAGGCGCGACATCCTGGGTAGTTAAATTTTTAGAATGCACATGATTAACACTTTTTAAATGTTTTAAAATGAGTAAATGATTAGAGAAAGAAGCTAATTTTTATTCTTGTGCTTCAAAAAGGGTCAACAGTTGTATTTTTCTGGAACTACTCCTAAAAACTTAAATTCTGGTATCTAAAATTGCATAATTTCTTAAAGGAGGTTAAAGATATTTTACTAAACATTCCACAGTGAGCTGGGTTACTGCCAAAGGGACATGATTACAAAATACTGAAAATGTGGATTCTGCATTTTTATAACTTTTAAATTGTTGCAAATTAGGTTGAAAATCTGTGCTTTAAATTTTTATGTCCTTCCCCTTCTTTAGAGGACTTAAGGTAGAAATTTCTAAGATTAAAAGAAAAGTGAAAGATCACAGACTTTAGCTACTGTTGAATTTGAGGTTTTGTAAAATTTGATTTTTCCTGGTTCTTGAAAATGTGTAATTTACTGCTGTTGTTCCTCCCTCAAGTTCTTTTTGTAACAAAGTGTAATTATGCCTTATTTGAAGGGGTTCTAGGAATATTTTGTTATTTAAGTCTGTATAGATTTTTAACTGGGAAGTCTTAGTGCAATGTAAAGGATACTCCAGAATAGGAGTTTTTAAGAGAAAACTACTTCTTGATTTCATATCTTTTAAGTTGTACTCAAAGTGTCCTTATAATCATTGAAATGAGGTGGGGCTTCTGTTCTGGTTTTACTTTTAACCTATTACTTATTGAGAGACACCTGGTCTTGTAGGAAAATTCTGAGATACACTTAGTATACTTGTATACTCAGAAGATCTCCTGGGGAGGGCATGTACTGATTAGGAAATTTCTTTTTCTCTCTCTCTCTCTTTCTTTCTTTCTTTTTTTTTTTTTTTTTGACCTGGTCAGGATGTTATCTAGTCTAGTATTTTGGGAGGAGGGGAGTTTGTTTAACTTCCCAAGACACATAACCTCCATTAAAGAATTGTTAACAGTTTACTGTGTACTTTGTGGTGAATAAGCATGTTCTTCAGTGGGTATGTACTTTCTCTACAGAGTATGAATTGGTTTAATTGGTAACTTTGCAGGTGATGCCTCATGAAGTAATATTTATGTGGTATTTTTAGTTGCAGCTGAAGAGATTTGAGATCTAACACTGCATTGTTACTGCCGATTACACTTTTTCCCCTTCAGATTGGCCGATGTCAGAAATCAGGTGATACTTGCTGTCCGTCAGGAATATGTCGAACTTGGAGATCAACTCCTCCAGCTTCAGTCAGGAGATGAAATTGCCATTATCCCCCCCATTAGTGGAGGGTAGTGCTCTTGAGCTACGTGGGTGTGTGAGGTATGTTTTTCTTAACCAGTCTTGTAGAGAAGGCTCACATAGATGAAAACTTGTATATGGCTTATAACTATACTCTTGGTAAGTCTGCCTGCACCAATAGCGACTTGGTGCAGACAGTCCTGTGCATACCTGCCTTTCATCTCTGCATCTGTTCTCTTGTAAGCAGTTTAATATTATGTCAGCTTGAAACATTCATTCTGTCAACTTCAGATAATTTATGGAAATTTTATTATGTGTCAGGCACAGTTCTGGATGCTAGAGTATTAATATTCCTGTTTTGCAGGATGGAAAACAAAGTCAGAGAAGTTTAAAAAAAAAAACCTCACCTACACTCACGTAGCTAATAGGTGGCAGAGCCAACATTTGAACTCAGATTTTTGGATTTCCTGTACTTTTTCACAAAGACACTTCTTAATCCAGGAAAATAGCTCTCCTGGGCACAGAGAAATGTAGAAAAATTGCATAGCCAGAAAGTGAAAAGATCACTGTGCTTAACAAGAAAGCTTACCATTTTCCAGGTGTATAGAAACAGCTTTATTATGATAGCTGTGTTGTAGGTAGCTCTGGGACCCATGGCATCGTGCCCTCTTTACAAATATGTAGAAATTAATGATTGTCTCCAATTAAAGAGTTTTGGCGAGATAGGAATGAAAGAAAACTTTGTTAATTTGATAGGGCTTTGCTCCAGAATCAAGAGTAAATACCATACTCCATGGCAAAACCTTGGTTTCATAAAAGAAAGCATACCAAGGATGCCAGTTTATTTTTTTCACCTGTTTTTTTTCTCTACTCTGCGGGAGGGCAGTTCCTCAAAAAGTGAAGAATATATATTGCAAAGCAAATTGCCCATGATACTGATAAGGACTGGATCTTTCTTAGTCCTACTATTTGGAAATATGGAATTTCTTGATAGATCTGTGTCTCAGTTTTACTTGGAAACTAAGTCACCATATCACTACCATGATTTTTGAGAAAAATGCCATTTTTCAGAGTTTGGAATTTATTCAGAAAATTATGCTGTCATTAAGCTAAGAGTGTGTGTGTGTGTGTGTGTGTGTGTGAGAGAGAGAGAGAGAGAGAGAGAGAGAGAGAGATGATTGGGGTGTTCTTTGGAAAGATTAGAAAGATTACTCAACAGCATTGTGTATTGTTTGAAGGTGTCTGACAGGATTTGTAACATGTGGTCTTATTTATTTATTTATTTAAAGATGATTGTAAATTGGCTAACATACCTTATGTAAACTGTGCTCTTTGTTTTTGGGGTAGATTCCCATGGTTCATTGCTTAAAACACAATATCCAGTGTTCATCCCGGCAAGTGCCCACCTTAGTGCCCATCACCCATTTTCCCCTCTCCCCTTAAATACAGAAAACAAACTGAGGGTTGATGAGGTTGAGGGTTGATGTGGGTCTTATAGTTTATCTAAGAGGGAGTCCCTCCATCTCTGTTTGTAACTAATTTCCCCCCCATGGTCTTCTGTTAAGTTTCTCAAAATCCACATATGAGTGAAAACACATGATATCTGTCTTTCTCTGATTGACTTATTTCACTCAGCATAATACCTTCCAGTTCCATCCACGTTGCTGTAAATGGCCAGATTTCATTCTTTCTCATTCTCAAGTAGTATTCCATTGGATATATAAACCACATCTTCTTTATTCATTCATCAGTGGATGGACATTTGGGCTCTTTCCATAATTTGGCTATTGTTGAGAGCGCTGCTATAAACATTGGGGTACATGTGCCCCTATGAATCAGCGCTCCTGTATCCATGGATAAATTCCTAGTAGTGCTATTGCTGGGTGGTAGGATAGCTCTATTTTTTATTTTTTGAAGAACCTCCACACTGTATTCCAGAGTGGCTCCATCAGTTTCCATTCCCACCAACAGTGCAGGAGGGTTCCTGTTTCTCCACATCCTTGCATCTGTTGTTTCCTGAGTTGTTAATTTTAGCCACTCTGACTGGTATGAGGTGGTATCTCAGTGTGGTTTTGATTTGTATTTCCCCGATGATGAGTGACATTGAGCCCCTTTTCATGTGTCTATTGGCCATCTGGATGTCTTCTTTGGAAAAAGGTCTGTTCATGACTTTTGCCCGTTTCTTCACCGGATTATTTGTTTTTCAGGAGTTTGGTAAGTTCTTTATAGATTTTGGATACTAACCGATATGTCATTTGCAAATATCTTTTCCCATTCTGTCCGTTGCCTTTTAGTTTTGTTGATTCTTTCTTTTGCAGGGTAGAAGTTATCTTGATGAGGTCCGAATAGTTCATTTCTGCTTTTAATTTCTTTTCCTTTGGAGATGCATCAAGTAAGAAGTTGCTACAGCCGAGGTCAAAGAGGTTTCCGGCTTTCTCCTATAGGGTTTTGATGGTTTCCTGTCTCACATTTAGCTCTTTCATCTATTTTGAGTTTATGTTTGTGTATGGTGTAAGATAGTGGTCAGTTTCGTTCTTCCACATGTTGCTGTCCAGTTCTCCCAGCACCATTTGCTAAAGGGGCTTTTTTCCATAGGATACTCTTTCTTGCTTTGTCAAAGATTGGTTGGCCGTACATTTGTGGATCCGATTCTGAGTTCCCTATTCTGTTCCACTGGTTTATATGTCTGTTTTTGTGCCAATACCATACTGTCTTGATGATTACAGCTTTGTGGTAGAGGCTAACGTCTGGGATTGTGATGCCTCCCGCCTTGGTTTTCTTCTTCAATATTACTTTGGCCATTCGTGGTCTTTTGTGGTTCCATACAAATTTTAGGATAGTTTGTTCTAACTTTGAGAAGAGTGCTGGTGCAATTTTGATTGAGATTGCATTAAATGTGTAGATTGCTTTGGATAGTATTGACATTTTTACAATATTTATTTCTTCCAATCCATGAGCATGGAGTGTTTTTCCATTTCTTTGTATCTTCTTCAGTTTTCTTCATAAGTTTTCTATAGTTTTAAGCATACAGATCTTTTACATCTTGGGTTAGATTTATTCCTAGGTATTTTATGGTTTTTTGTGCAATTGTGAATGGGATCAGTTTCTTTATTTCTCTTTCTGTTGTTTCATTATTGGTGTATAAAAATGCAACCAATTTCTGTTTGTTGATTTCATAATCTGTGACTTTGCTGAATTCATGGGTTGGTTCTAACACCTTTTTGGTGGAATCCTTCAGATTTTCCATATAGAGTATCATGTCATGTGCAAAAATTGAAAGTTTGACTTCTTTGCAAATTCTGATGCCTTTTATTTCCTTTTGTTGTCTGCTGATGCTTGGACTTCCAGCCTATGTTAAACAACAATGGTGAGAGTGGACATCCCTGTTGTGTTCCTGATCTCAGGGCAAAGGCTCTCAGTTTTTCCCCATTGAGGATGATACTAGCTGTGAGCTTTTCATAAATGGCTTTTATGATGTTAAGTTACCTTTCTTCTATCTTGACTTTCTTGAGGTTTTTTATTAAGAAAGGATGCTGTATTTTGTCAGATGTTTTTTCTGCATCTATCCATGGGATCATATGGTTTTTATCTTTTCTTTTGTTAATGTGATGTATCACACTGATTGATTTGTGAATATTGAACCAGCCCTGCAACCCAGGAATGAATCACACTTGATCATGGTGGATAATTAAAAAAAATTTTTTTTTGTTTTATTTATTTCTGAGAGAGAGAGAGAGAGAGACAGCATGAGCAGGGGAGGGTCAGAGAGAGAGAGAGGGAGATACAGAATCTGAAACAGGCTCCAGGCTCTGAGCTAGCTGTCAACACAGAGCCTGATGCGGGGCTCGAACCCAGAAACCGTGAGAGCATGACCTGAGTCGAAGTTGGATGCTCAACCGAATGAGCCACCCAGGTGCCCCGGTGGATAATTCTTTTTATATGCTGTTGAATTTGATTTGCTAGTATCTTGTTGAGGATTTTTGCATCCATATTCATCAGGGATATTGGCCTGTACTTCTCTCTTTTTGCTGGATCTCTGCCTGGTTTGGGAATCAAAGTGATGCTGGCTTCATAGAATGAGTCTGGAAGTTTTCCTTACATTTCTATTTTTTGGAAGAGCTTGAGAAGAATGGGTATTAGCTCTGTTTTAAATGTCTAGTAGAATTCCCCAGGGAAGCCATCTGGCCCAGGGCTCTTATTTGTTGGGAGATTTTTGATAACTGATTCAATTTCTTCACTAGTTATGGATCTGTTCAGATTTTCTATCTCTTCTCATTTGAGTGTTGGTAGTGTCTGTGTGTTTAGGAATTTGTCCATTTCTTCCAGATTGTTCAGTTTGTTGGCATATAATTTTTTATAGTATTTTCTGATAATTGCTTGTATTTCTCAAGGATTGGTTGTAATAAATCCATTTTCATTCATGATTTTATCTATTTGGGTGCTCCCTCTTTTCTTTTTGATAAGCCTGGCTAGAGGTTTATCAATTTTATTTCTTTCAAAAAACCAACTCTTGGATTCATTGGTCTGTTCAGCTAGATTTTTGGGTTCTATATTGTTTATTTCTGCCCTGATCTTTATTATTTTTCTTCTTCTGCTGGGTTTGGGATGTCTTTGCTGTTTTGCTTCTCGTTCCTTTAAGTATGCTGTTAGATTTTGTGTTTGTATTTATGCTGTTAGTTTCTTGAGAAAGCCTGGATTGCAGTGTATTTTCCTCTTAGGACTGCCTTTCCTGCTTACCGGAGAGTTTGGATTGTTGCAGTTTCACTTGTTTCCATATATTTCTAAATTTCTTCTCTAATTGCCTGGTTGACCCATTCATTCTTTAGTAGGGTATTCTTTAACCTCCATTCTTTTGGAGGTTTTCCACACTTTTTCCTGTGACTGATTTCAAGTTTCATAGCATTGTGATATGAAAGTGTGCATGGTATGATCTCAATTTTTTTATGTTTATTGATGGCTGCTTTGTGACCCAGTATGTGATCTGTCTTGGAGAAAGTACCATGTGCACTCAAGAAGAAAGTGAATTCCACATCTTTGGGATATAGAGTTCTAAGTATGTCTGTCAAGTCTATCTCTTCCAAGGTGTGATTCTGGGCTATATTTTCTTTAGTGATTTTCTGTCTAGTTGATCTATCCATTGCTGTAAGTGGAGTATTAAAGTCCCCGGCAATTAACACATTCTTATCAATAAGATTGCTTATTTTTGTAATTAATTGTTTTATACTTTTGGGTGCTTCCAAGTCGGTGCATAGACATTTATAATTGTTAGCTCTTCCTGATGGATAGACCCTGTAATTATTATATAATGCCCTTCTTCATCTTTTGTGACTGCCTTTACTTTAAGTCCAGTTTGTCCGATATAATTATGGCTACTTTAGCTTTCTTTTGACTTCCAGTAGCATGATAGATATTTCTCTATCCCCTCACTTTCAATCTGAAGGTGTCCTTAGGCCTAAAATAAGTCTCTTGTAGACAGCAAATAGATGTTTGTTTGTTTTTTTTTATATCCATTCTGATATCCTGTGTCTTTTGATTGGAGCATTTAATCCCTTTACATTCGATGGTATTATTGAAAAATATGGGTTTAGAGTCATTGTGTTCTCTGTAGGATTCATACTTGTAGTGATGTCCCTGTAGTTTATGTTCCTTGCAGCATTTCCGTCATAGAGTCCCCCTTAGGATCTTTTGTAGGGCTGGTTTAGTGGTGATGAACTCCTCAGTTTTTGTTTGTTTGGGAAAACCTTTATCTCTCCTTCTATTCTGAAAGACAGGCTTGCTGGATAAAGGATTCTTGGCTGCATATTTTTCTTCTTCAGCAGATTGAAGTTTCCTGCCATTCCTTTCTGGCCTGCCAAGTTTCAGTAGATAGGTCTGCTACTACCCTTATGTGTCTACTCTTGTAGGTTCAGGCCCATTTGTCCCTAGCTGCTTTCAGAATTCTCTCTTTATCTTTGTATTTTGCCAATTTCACTATGATATGTTGTGCAGAAGATCTATTCAAATTATGTCTGAAGGGAGTTCTCTGTGCCTCCTGGATTTCAATGTCTGTTTCCTTCCCCAGATTGGGAAAGTTCTCAGCTATTATTGGTTCAAGTATGCCTCCTGCCCCTTTCTCTCTCTTCTTCTAGAAATCCTATGATATGGATATTAATACGGTTCATTGAATCACTTAGTTCTCTAATTTTCCCCTTGTGGTCCAGAATTTTTTTTATCTTTTTCTCAGCTTCATTTTTTCCCATCATTTTGTCTTCTATTTCACTTATTCTCTCTGCCTCTTCAGTCCTCACTGTCACTGCCTCTCATTTATTTTGCACCTCATTCACAGCATTTTTAAATTGATCATGATTATTTTTTTAGTTCCTTGATCTCTGCAGTAATAGATTCTCTGCTGTCTTCTATGCCTTTTTCAAGCCCAGTGATTAGTCTTATGACTGTTACTTTCAATTATTTTCTAAATTCTTATTCAGTTGTATTGTTATATCTGTTTTGATCAGTTCTTTTTTTAAAAAAAATTTTTAATGTTTTATTTATTTCTGAGAGAGAGATAGAGACAGTGTGAGCAGGGGACAGTCAGAGAGAGAAGGAAATACAGAATCTGAAACAGGCTCCAGGCTCTGAGCTAGCTGTCAGCACAGAGCCCGACGTGGAGCTCAAACCCACTAACCATGAGATCATGACCTGAGCCAAAGTCAGAAGCTTAACTGACTGAGCCACTCAGGTGCTACCCAAGTTTTGATCAATTCTTTAGCTGTCATTTCTTCCTGGAATTTCTTTTGAGGAGTATTCTTCCATTTTGTCATTTGGCTAGTTTTCTGTCCCTTATGTGTTATAAAAGTTTATTATATGTCTGGACTTAAGAGCACTACTATATTAAAAAGGGGTCATACACTGTCTAGGGTCTGGCCCTTTAGGAGGGGTTTTTTGGAGTGTGTTACTTGCTCTCTGTTGTGACTCTGGTTGCTTTATCTCCTTACTCATAGTGATGCTTTGGACCCTCCACCAGGTGTGCTTTGATTTGTTCTTTGAAGTAACCCTGGAAAAGAAAACACACACACACACACACACAGACACACACACACACACACACACACACCAGCTACAGCAAAACAACAGGGTGGAGGCATTGTTGATGGAAGAGACCCAATCCCATACAATGAGAGAAATTACAGGGATGGGGAAAAGGAAAAGAAAATTGAGCAGGCAGAGAAACTCTAGGGTTTAATCTAGAGAAAGAGGAAAATAAATAAGGAGATCTAGAACAGGTATAAAGACAATAGATTACATATGTCTTCTTAAACAAACCGACAGCCAGAATGACCAGACTAGAGGAGGGAAGAAATAAGAAGGAGAAAAGGAAGAAAAAGAAATATGATAAAATAAAAAATAAATATACATAGTAAGAATTGCTCAAGAGTTAAATCAGGCAATGCAAAACCGCTGGGTGCCTTGAACTGGTGGCAGCTCTGGTCTGGAGGAGGGGCTGTCGGGTTCATCAGCATCAGTCCTGCTGCAGTAGATATGCAGTTACCAGGCATGGCGGGGCCTGGTTTGGTGTAGGCGAGTCCCGCCTCCACTGTGGGCCTGCCGTCCAATCCCTGAAGCCTCACCTTGTTGGTGATGGGGAGAAAAATGGTGTCACATTCCCCTCCCTCCCCACCCGCCGTCTCTCCTCCACGTACTGAGTGTCCCAAACCACTGTGTTCAGACCACCCTCACAGTGCCTAGGTCTGAAAGAGGCAGTTTGTCCTGTTCCGCTTACTTCCATGCCTCGCTGTGCTCAGCTGGGACTTAAACCCTGATGTCTTAAAGAATCCCGCTCTGTACACCCCGGTTCCGGGGAAGTGCCCCTCCATGCCGCTGATATATGGTCTCTGGCTGGTGGGCACAGTCAGTCTTTGTCCTTTGAACAGTTATATACCTTCTTCCCACAGCACTCCTGGAAGGGGATTGCTTTCTCTCTCTGCAGACTGTGCCTCTGAACTAGTTACCAAGGCCAGGGCTGGCTCCTCATTCCCCAGATGCGTGAACTGGGCAGCTTTCTCTTTCCAGAGAGAGCCCCACAGTTAGAGATTGGATCTTTCTACATCCTGTTCCATGGTTTTTCTCTTGTCCAGATACAGTCCTGTGCTTTCCCAGCCTCTCTCTTCCCCTTGTCTCTCTGCAAAAGGGGATCCTTCCCCCTCCATGTCTGCGCGGCCTGTTAGCTCTCCTAGTTCCCACTCATGCATCTGTGGCCTGCCAACTCATCCCCATGGGTCCCTGGCGATGTCTTTGTCACTCTGAAGCCTGGACTCTTGGAATTCGAAGTCTTTTGGCCTCAACACTGCTGTATTTAAGAGACCATGGAACTTTGGGTCTCCCTACTACTCTGCCATGTTGGATCCCCTCCCTAACATGTGGTTTTAGAATCCATGCCCTTTACAGAATCAAAGTGGTAGGAATTTGGTGTGGTTTGAGGTTCATAGACTATGTTCAGGTTATGTATAAGTTATTGTAAGAAGCTCAGGTGCCATGTACACAAGGTTGAAACATCCTAGAACCCTGTGGAATGTGAATATTTGTGCTTTTCTTTCTTTCCAGTATAGGGAAAAGGACACTGGATTTAGTGGGATTCCTTGGTTGGGATCACCTTGGGGGAGTGCTTAACTCCCGGGTTCTTCTTTCTCTTGTCTTTCAATATAAATGAAATCCCACAGGATTTATGATTATGTTCAGACTCCTCTTCCTGCACAGTCTGGCCTGTGTGCCCACCCTCAGCCCATCTGTTCTTTCCCTCACACCCTGAGCTCTGCCCTCCCTGCAGGTCTGGAGCCTTTGTGTTTGCCATTCCCTCTGTCTCTGCCTGGGGGCCGATTCCCCTGTTTCTTTTAGGCTTTCTTTCAGGTCTCACCTCTCAGTACTATGTCTTCAGAAAGGCTTTCTCTGACCTTCTTTTTTTTTTTTTTTTTTTTAATTTTTTTTTTAATGTTTTATTTTTTTCTAGGAGAGAGAGAGACAGCGTGAGCAGGGGAGGGTCAGAGAGAGAGAGGGAGTGACAGACTGAAACAGGCTCCAGGCTCTGAGCTGGCAGTCAGCACAGAGCCCGACACGGGGCTCGAACCCACAAACCGCGAGATCATGACCTAAGCGAAAGTCGGACGTTTAACTGACTAAGCCACCCAGGCGCCCCTCTCTGACCTTCTTAAATAGCCGCTTTCCCAGCACCCATGCTGTCTCAGAACACTTTATTTTTATGTTACCCCTATTTACAATTTTTGTTTATTGCTTTGTTTCTCCCATTCCCATATAGGTGCTCTGAGGGGGCAGGGTACAGGTCTTTTTTTTCCCTGGTCCTTGTCTAATGTGTGGGGTTAGTCACTTAGTGAGTATGTAATAGATGCTTGATAAATGAAATGAGAAATGCATGGCAAAGGGCTTTGTAGGACACCTGGCGGTAGACACACAGTCCATTTCCTTATTTCCTTGGTTACTTAACTGGGATCACGCCCGGTTATGAAATGAACCGAGTTCCTGTGGAGTCACCATTGTTTCTGTTCTCCCGCTCTCCTTTTTGGATAAAGAAAAAGCCAGTTCTGGGTGTGGTGCATGGTAATGTAGTGGTTAGAGGTGATGTGTGTGTGGATGAAGGTGTCGATGTCTGACCTATACCATGATAGGAGATAAGAGTAGCAATTCCAGAATTTGTAATAAAGTAGCATATGAGATAGATTACATTAAGTGATCACATCAATGGTAAATTCCTTTTTTGTATCCTGCTCGATTCGTTTGGGACATTTATAAATAAGTTGAGTTTTGCTAAAATTTTACACGTGGTTATTTTTATCATTCAAACCAAACCATGCCTTCCATCACATCTAAATGTCCAAAAAATATAAGTTGAAATGCAGTCTGTTAAGTTGGGTGTTTTGTCTCTAGTGCCAATGTTAAGGTTTATTAATATCTTCCAGGAAAGATATGAATGAAATTGAAGAGAAATCTAAAGATATAATAAAATTTACTGCTGAGAAACTCTCCATAGATGAAGTCTCACAGTTGGTGGTTTCTCCACTCTGTGGTGCAGTATCCTTGTTTGTAGGTGAGTTGTGATTTTTCACAGCATCTGTTGACTGCATATGACAGCAGAAATCAGCAAGTGTCTCCCATGTTCAGTGTTAATAGAGGATTTTAAGATACTAAGAGCAGTAAGCCAAGATTACCTATGGTGGGTAGAAAGTTTTTTAGTTCCTATTTTGTTTTATTACAGTTCAAAATAACCTATGTTAAAGGCATGAAAAGAATAGGATAAAAACCGTTACTAGCAAGGAGAATTCTATATTTTCCAAATATTGAGGGGGAAAAATGGTAATGATACTAACTTAATGATAGTCCTGGGAGTCTAATGTTTCCCATCCTGGTTTGTCTTGTGAGTATTTTCGATACTCTTGCTTCATTAGTGACATTGTATTTCCTTATCTTTGTGATAATTATTTTTGATTTTCTAACCAAATGTTTGTTTTTAGAAAATTTGAAAGCAATTTTAGGCAAATTGGTATGTTGCTGAAATAACCTTTGTTCTATTAATGTGTTATTTCTATTGTAAGGGAAAACTTTATTTTAATATTTTCTTTTTCTTTCTTTTTTTTTTTTTTTTTTTTAGGGACTACAAGAAATAACTTTGAAGGGAAAAAAGTCATTAGCCTGGAATATGAAGCGTATTTACCGATGGCAGAAAATGAAATCAGAAAAATTTGTAGTGACATTAGGCAGAAATGGCCAGTCAGACACATAGCAGTGTTTCATAGACTTGGGTATGATTTCCTTTAGCAATTAAAAAGTTAATTGCAGTTGTTTTCCATCATTGTACTGATTTTGATTTTGGAATCTTCCATAGGAATCCTGTATTAGCATGAGGGGAAGGTGTGTGTTTTATTCTGGCAGACAGTGGGCAGTGCCTCAGTGGCTGTTTATTATATTGTAACATTCAGAGAGTGCCTGATGCTAAAACAAAATCTAAATATGCCAAACTCTAAAAGGCCTGTGCTAGACACGGAAGGCCTGCGCTAATGTGTGCTAAAGTCCTTAAGGCCTTTTAAGAATTGTGTTATAGTCTGGACTGTATTTGTATGATAAGTCTGTTAATAGATTCTTTTTAATGTAGTGCCTTTGAAGGTCATTAAATTAGTTGCCTTTTCATACCATTAAGAAGAGTAGAGTTCCAGGCTTTAAAAGGAACACAGCAATTAAGACTCCATTTCTGTCATATTAGTTGTTATTATTAAAAACTATAATTTTATCAATTCTATTCTTTGTTTCTATTTAATATGCTAACAAATTAGCCACAACCTCAGCATCCCCTCTGCAAATGCAAATGGGATAGATTACTGTTTTTTAATTAACCTGGAAGTTTAAAGTAGAACTGGATATTTAATTGTAAGAATGCTTTACTGGAATTTTTTTTCATCTGTTTAGTATCCTTTAACATGTAGATTCAGAAGGGATGGTAATTTTTCTTCATTTTGTTAAAGCTTAGTTCCAGTGTCAGAAGCAAGCATTATCATCGCTGTGTCCTCGGCCCATAGGGCTTCATCCCTCGAAGCTGTGAGCTATGCCATTGATACTTTAAAAGCCAAGGTGCCCATATGGAAAAAGGTAAGAAGATCCTAATTTTGCCATTTGGACATGGTTTTTCTCACAAATTGTTTAAAAGATAAGGAATAAGATTACATACAGAACTTGTATTCATGGGTCTTCCCTGACTCTATAGAATCATGTTTTCTTTACCTGAAATAAGGGTGTTTATATAATATCTCCTTTCCAAGATTTGTTAAACATGAAAAGTACATGCCCAAAGAATGCATGGCAAAGGTTAGTCCTCAATAGATGGTAACAATTAAAATTCCTTGTCTGGAGTGTTCCATTGGTTCATTATGAATTCATTTACTTTGGATTAGAATTCCCTTGAATTAGCCTCTCTTGTGGAGAGTGGGGATAATGCACAGCTGTTTAGCAATAGCTAAAACAGAGATGTCTCAAGGCAAAAGAGCAAGCAACATTCTAGAATTTCTTTTTAGGGAAAAAGTGGGGTATTGCCTCTTCAAAGAAAATGCATAGTGAGTGGATTTTCAAACATAAATAGGAAAGTCTAGCTTATTTTCTGTCAACACATCAACACAATAAGAGCAAATCTTTGGTTAAAGAGGACATTCTGAAGGGATGAAAAGACCCAACTCCTTAATTTCTTCCATGGTATAGTAACAGTAACAGTGGTGGTGTTCTGAACTCTCAAATTTGTAATTGCATTTAAGAATCTAGAATTGCCCACAGCATTTTGGCTGGGTAGTAAAGCCGAGGAGTGAATTAACCTCTCAGATCAGAGTGCCAGTGTGTGTCTTTTCTATTAGCCTACTGCCTCAGTTAGTGGTGGAGATGAGCAAATTGGACTCTTAACACAGGGCCTATGAAATCCAGTGACTGTGTTTTCTGAATAAAAAGTGAAATCTGTTCTTATAGGGGGATACTTTGGGATCTGAAGATCGGATATGTGAGAGAAAACAGTCTCTGTGAAGCTCAGATATATGGTAGCTTTGCTATGAGTAACTGCCACCAATTTGATAGACTACATGAGCCAGTCTCCTGAATAGAGTGAGGTGGGGAGAGCATTTACATTGAGTTGTGAATCTTGGGGGCAGAGATAGCTTTCTTTTTTTTTTATTTTAATTAATTTTAATTTAACTTTTTTTTTTTTTTAGAGAGAGGATGTGAGCAGGGGAGAGGGGCAGAGGGAGAGAGAATCTTTTTTTAGTTTTTTAAATGTTCATTTTAGTGTGTGTGAGAGAGAGTGCGCATGCGTGTGCCCATGACCCTGGGATCATGACCTGAGCCCAAATCAAGAGTCGGACACTCAACCACCTGAATCACTCAGGCACCCCAGTAGCTTTCCTTACCAGGGAGAAAGAATGCACAGCCATCTGATAGAAAGTAGACGAGAGAGTAGGTCCCTAGAATGAGAGTGGGCAGGAGTTGGGGCATCCTTTCATCTTCATTCTTTGAGGTCTAGCTGAGCTTACTATTTACTTTCCTGTCTGTAGAGAGAGAGAGGGTATTACATGTGTTCTAAGGAAAGTTAAATTTGTATTTCTGTCCCTCAGAAATAGAATCTGACTAGAGAGTGAGAAGAAAGATTGATACGTTCTTATTCCCTTCCCTTCTAAGTATCATCTCAATCCTTGTCGGGTTCGACTACCACCTGTGCTTTGAGGTCATTGATGACCTAGGCAACAGTAGGCAGGTGGGTGGGGCACACACTCACGAAGCAGTTGTCTCTGTGGTACAGCCCAAACCTGCTTAAGAACTTCTGTGGGTGGTCACTTAATTTCTCACCTAGTGGAAATATCCCATCTGCCTGTGGAAAAGCATATTTAGAAATGCTGAAGTAGATGTAGTTGGAAAGAAAAAAACATTTAAAACTAAAGATCTTCCATCTTCCCTGCCTAACCTTGTTCAGGCGGTCTCCTGACATGGTCCCAGAAGGAATTATTTATTCCATTCTGCAGTTGTACCTTGTCTTGTTAAGTCTCTCTGTCTATGTTTCTCCCACTGGATTGGGAGTCCTTAAGTGTAGGGAACAGTTTTATTCATTTTTCTACTCTGTGTCTCATACAAATTGTATTGTTGGAAGAGTAGCAGATTTAACTAGATTCATTTGCCTGAATTATTCTGATGCAATTGAATTTATTAGGCCACTCTGTTCTATTTTTCAGGAAATGTATGAAGAATCATCATCATCTTGGAAAAGAAACAAAGAATGCTTTTGGACAGTCAATGATTAACTCACACATTTTTTAAGAGAACTACAATTAAATTTGGTAAACTGTCATCAATCACATTTTGATTTTTCTTCTCCAGAAGTTAAGCTAGTTTACTGAAACATAGTCTCGTCTTACACCAGTGGGACAAAAGGGAGAAAATAAATAAATGAGTGTTAGGATGAGGGCTTATGCAGGAACCACAGATAGAGGAAAGGCTTTAAGGAAAAAATGGTAGAGTAATTTAAATGTGAGGAAAGATGCCTGTGGTGGACATACCATTCCGTGACGTAGGGCATTCAAATTACTTATATTTTAAGTATTTTTCAATGAGAAGCAAAATGAAAAGCATTTTATTTTCTTTGAAAGTAATAGTAGATGGTCAGTGAGTGAAGTGTTTTGTGGATATTTTCATCCTTTGGATATAATGTTAGAGTTCTAGTATAGTTCAGTTTGTTGTGAGAAGTAGTGGTCAAGAAGCCAGTAGTTTGAGTCTTGATCTCATATTCTTAATGAACCTGTTGGAGAATTTGGAAATGGATTCATGGATGTCTCTCGAATTTAGCTGCTACTTCCGAATTCCACTGCTGCATCTCTCGTCCAGGCCATCATTCCATTTCTCTTGGACCGTTGCTGTGGCTCTGCTGACAGCACCCCTCTCTGCCACTCTTCTGTCTCTCACGTGGGTCACTTCATCATCCTCAGAGCCTTCTGAGATCTAATCCCATCCCGGAGCCCCACAGTCCTCACCACGGCCTACAGTCTATGTGCTTGGGCTCCTTCCTTCCCCTCACCTTGCTCCAGCCCCCCTGCTTTGCTGTGGCTGGTATGCAACAGGCTTATTCTGTCATAGGGTCCTTCCTTGTCTCTTTGTCTAGAATGTTCTTCCCCCAGATATTCCCAGTCTGCTTCCTCACTATTTCAAGTCCCCAGTTAAATGTTACCTCCTCAGAGAGCCTTCTCTATCTGATTTGGAACTGGAATCCCCTTCCCTTTACCCTGCTTTATATCTTCTTGTGGCCCTTAATGCTGTCTGATATACTATATATTAGTTTATTCCCATCACCAGACTACAGACTTCTTGAGGTCAGGGACTTGTCTCTGTCAAGTGTGTCCTAACCACTACCATGTGCCAAAAAGTGCTGTTGGTGTTGAGTATTGTGCTCCAAATTAAACACCTGACATGTGTAGTTGTAGCCATTACATGGTTAAATGCATGAGTGGGTGGATTTCTTCTCCACTTCCTCCCCCAGAACCATTCTGTAACAACTTATTTATTGAGCTTGGAGTTTGTGAACACGGTATCTTAAGGCAGGAATGATTTGTGATGTAGTTAGTACCTGGCCCAGCAGAGGGCAGTAGAGCCAGGGCTACGGTAAGAGCAACTTGAGATTTTTTTAGTCGGTTAGTTTTCTATGTAAAAACTTTTTGCATAGAACCAAAAAGTTCAGTTTAGTTAGCCTTTCTCTTTAAGTTAGGTCGGGGTGGTTCTTAGATGAAGAGTAGTATCTGACTTTGCCTACGATTATTTCCAGTGTTTAATTGGTATTGGAGTTTAAAATATTAAGGGTTTAAGTTATATGATAGGATGAGGATGGAAGTTTTTCAAATGCTGTTTATAGTTTTTAAAAGGTAATGTAGAATAAGTAAAAGCAATTACTTATAAAAAGTATAAAATTATTTTCCAATTTGGGACACAATGGTAGCCTTAATACGGGTCTATTCTGTGCCAGAGCTAATGTTCTTTTTGTTCATAGTTGTATTTTAATGTACGGCGTTTACCAGACACACTGACTGTGATGGTTCTAGTCAGCTCCCCTTACAACTTGGTTCACCAGGACTGAGATGGGCAGGGCTGAGGCAGGCGTTTGAGAGAGCACCTGATACGGGAACGGGAGACACTTGTGCGTCCATGTAAACGGAACTATGTGCCATTCAAGCTTTGCCATTAATGTGCCCTCTGTACAGTGAGGGCCAGTCGGTAAGCTGGATATGTAGCTTTCATAACACATTCAAATCCTCCAGCTTACTACTAAAACTAGAAAAAGAAATCTGAATGTTTTGGCAAGTTGCAACAGTTTGGCCAACTTTTTTTCCCTCTATTTCACGTACACATTTTAAGAGAGAAGTTGTGCTTTAGAGCAGTGCTTCTCAGACTTTCAATACATACCATGATTCGTTGGAGAATCTTGTTAAACTTCCCCTTCAAATTCAGCACTTCTGGATGGCACCTGAGATACGCATTTGGTACCAGGCCCCAGATGATAATGCAGTGCTGCCTATCTGTGGACCACACGTTTAGAGGCAAGTTACATCTAGTCCCTAAACTGTGAAGGCAGTTGAAGGTTCTTACAAAATATTCTGTGGTCACTGCTAGTGATATAAGAGATTAGCTACATCCTCACCCTTACGTGGAGTCTTGAATGTGTTCTGAAGCAGGGGGAGTGCGTACGATGAATACACTCACATACACAAGCCTAAAAGATCAGAAGTCGAAAGTAAATAACTTTATTTATAATTCAGTAATGTGGCATGAAGAGTAGTTTATAATTAAATAACACTTTGGAGTCTCATTCTTAGTTAAGAGCTTTTCTCAATGTTGATTACTATTCCAATTTGATTTGTTTCTCAGACATCAAATGAGTTGTGCAACTTGATGAACACGCATACATTCATTTTCATATTTTTGGTGGACAAAAAAGGCAAAAACCGGTTGATCAAAAAAAATATAATCACATCTTAAAGATTTATACTTTACATGAAGGAAAATAGCCAAGATACTTTCTCTTTAGAAAATATACAATTCTAACATAGTTGTGCAATATATACATTTTATCTGCCAAAATAAACCAGGTACAGATGAAACCTTTTTGTATTTACATATGGTTACATTTCATCCTTTAAGGTTTAAAGAAGTAGTTAACATTTTAATCTCAGACTTTACCCTCATGTTTACCTTTAGATGTTTAGTCTTTCAAATTGTTTACAATTTGTATTTGTTAGTACACATGAAGGGCATAGGCCTGAAAAGGCAGGTGTGCAGGTATTTTCCCTGTGCAAAGAGTAAAGATGGACCAGGATGCTCAGTTTGAGGGATCCTTTTTTCTATTTAATGTCTTAATTGATGAAAAAAAATTTTTTTGGTTTATTTTTAGAGAGTGAGTGAGCAGGGGGAGGGTTGGAGAGAGAATGCCAAGCAGGCTCCTCACCACCAGCGTGGGAGATTTTTAATAACTTACAAGCCGTATATCAGAATAAATACATTATAAAATTATACCTTATTTTATAAGTTTTTTGTATAATCACGTGATTAGGATAAATTGGCTTTAGTTTTCTTTTCACAGTTAATAATTTCTACCATTTTATAAAGAGAACACTGCCAGCTAGAAAAAATCTTCAATTCTCCTTTTGCTGCTAAAATGAATGATGCACAATTTCAAGTCTCGATGCAGCTTCTTCAAGCTATTTTACTATTTTATATAGCTTGTGGGGCAGCCATGCATGAAGCAACTCTTAACCACATGCTACAGATCTTGTCTCTGTATACCATTCGTGAAATGGAAACTTTAAGATGGTGTCTTTTAAACCCATATTATACTTTTAAAGCAACAGTATGGCTGACTAGAAATAAATTTTTTTCAAGCAGTGGGGTTACTTTCTTTAAATTCTTGGATAAATACTCGCCTTTGCTTAAAAGTGTTGGAGAAGAAATACTCCTCACTAGAGCCCCTGCCTCATACCTGTTGCCATTTTAGCCCACTTGCTCCTGGCACGGTGCTTCTCTGTTGGGGTGATTTTGCCTCCTAGGAGGTGTGATACATAGTTGGAAATAATTTGTTGATTGCCCCAACTTGGAGAGGATGCTCCTGGCCTCTGGTAGCTTCCAGGGATGCGCAGGACAGCCGCCTGTAGGAATGAGTCACCCTGCCCCAGTGGAATAAATGGCACAGAGACCAGTGCCTGTCTTTTTAGGTTGTAGTAAGCCAGCTACTTCACGGAGACCGTGGTGACAGGGTAGACTACCTGAGCCCCGGTTTGGCCAGAGCTCTCAAGCTCGCCGGGGGCATGTGACCTCAGTTTAGTGCTTCTGGAAGAAAGGCGAGGCAGAGTAAAATAAAAGGGATGACCTGCTAGAATTCTTTGAATAGCACCCTGAAGAACTAGTATGCATATGTACACAGTAGTTACATGGTTTCTTAAATATTCCATCAACTCAGTGATGTTTGTCGCCTACTCTTTAAAAAATTTTTGGACTCAAAGTGTTTGAATCCACACAGCTGTTAGAAGAAGTGGGCTGTAGCACATCTAGAGAATACCATGCTTTCGCTATAAACCCCTGCCATTTTATGGCTAATTTTTTCACCTGGTTTGTTTTGCCTTGTCACATGCAAAATAAGTTACTAGAAAACACAGATAGCTCTAGATAGCTCACAGGGGTCAGGCCAGAAAAGCAGCTGGGCCAGATGCACACAGGCATGTACCTGTTTTCAAAGTCAGGTTTTTTGAGGATTGCCTATAAGAAATCCAGATTTCTGCTGAACTCTAAAGAGGCGAAGTGACTTGTCCAAAGCTTTAGGTATGCAGTTTCTGACATAAAATAGTCCCCACTGCCTTGGTCTCTACCTTTCTCCCACTCCCTCCTGGAGAAGGTGTGGGCTCAGAAAAGAAGTGGCAGGAGAAAGGAGTGGCATTCCCCAAGACAGCACTTATATCAGTGACCGGGATGTTTCATCCTCTTCTGACCAAGTAAGTGTTCCAGGAGTTGGGACCTAAGGAGCCTCCTAATGAGCATACTTGCCCAGGTGGGAGTCATTCTCCTGGAAGTTTAAGTTCTCCAGCAACACACAGACACAGAGGGTGCACCTGCTAATATAGGGGGTTTCCAAGGTCTCCTTGTAATTTCTCACAAATTCTCGAATTTTGTTTTGTACCTTTTACACTGCCTGAAATCCCAACAATTAGAAATTCACTGTGGCTTAGTTTTTCTTTCAATAAAGGAAAATAGTTCCCTGGAGTTAAGGGGATTATTCAATGCAAGTATGTAAGTGAGATGATTTTTCTTCCTCATACCTGGTATAGAGCAGCTGCTCCAGCAAATGGGAGATTTGGACGAGGGCCAAAGGGAGGTGGCTAATCCTGAATTACTGGAGAGGAAGACACACCTCAGTGGGCTTCTAGAAGATGGGGACAGCAGGAGGTAGGTGCGAGAGTGGTTTAGTATGGAAGGAGGAAGGAAGCCAAAGAAATTACTCCTCTTCCACAAATTCAAACTAGGTCCTTGCCAGGCAGTCAAGTCAGCCTGTTGTGTGTTGTGAAGGAGAAAAGAAACTTCCTACTTCCTCTGGCACAGGCTGGGCCTGTAGTGGATAGGATTTTACCATCAATGTTGTGTAAACAGTTTTGCATTTGACCTCTAAACTAGCACCACCGCCCCCCCCACCCCCCAAATGGAGCTTTCCTCTGTCGGAAGCATACTCTAGGCTCCTACCAGGTATCCAAGCTTGTTTTGATAGATACATCATGGCAAAAAAGGGACTCTGAGAAGGCCAACAGCAGCAAATTATACCTTCCTTCATTAACAAAATGATCACTTAACCTCTGTGGCAGCTCTGGCTGACCAGCATGAGGTGAAGACCTCTGTTTTTCCCTCCATCAATCTCAGTATCCAAGCTAATTATATAGCTATGCCAGGTACTTCCACTCTGGTGGTCACTGTTTAAAAACAATCACTTTAAATGGTTGGGGTTCCCCCCACCAGATCTGAGAAAGGTTATATTTTTCTTTAAGATTTCTCGTGTTTGAGAGCATTTCAATGTTTCTAACACAATGCACATTATGTAAACTCTGGACCAGCCAGTGTAAAGGTCACTCCCCCCCCATAAAATACATCTTTTACCCTTTGTACTCCTAGCTGCCCCCCAAACCCCCAGTTTCCTCTTTCCAGACTGACCTGCAGTTTTTGTAAAATACCGGGCCAGTTTGCCACTTACACATAAAGCACTGGGATTTAAAACAAATCCATTCATGCAAACAGCAAACCCTGGCCATGCGGCCGCCAGCTCGCCCTGCAGTGACACCGCTGGGGGGCTCAGCTGTTGAGTTCTGTGGTCTCGTCGATCTCATCCGCAGTTTTGGACATTTTTTCATATTTTCTTTTGAAGAAGCCGAGCTGTAAGATGATGTAAAATTTTTACCATGTGTGGATTATTTTGCTACGGGGCCTAGGACCCCCTTGGCTGCCCACTGAAGCACCTCTGAGAATCTCTGGGGCTCCGAGGAGGATGGTGTGCAGACTATGACCTGGGCTTAGCTCTTCAGTGAGGAAATAATACACAGAGTTGAACTGAATTGCATACGTTTTCCAGGGTCTTTTTTTTTTTTTTTGCACCTGAACAAAACATTCAGGGGTCTGGATAAAAGGCATGTTGGGGGAAAAAAAAAAAAAAGGTATAGAGACTAAGACCAAGGATATAAAATCCTTACTGATGGTTTTCAGGGATGGATGTGAGAATTTGCAAATAAATTTGCATTTCCTTTTCTCTTATGATGGAGGAGGTAACCATATAAAACTTAAGGTTTCAGTGTGGTAAGGAAATTCAAGCCAGACGTGTCCAGGAGCCCCATATTTTTAAACATGATCATTCTCTTACCTTCCATAAAACCGCAACCAGAGCTAATAGCAAAAGGATTCCAGCAATTACACTTCCTACTATAACTCCAGTTGGTACTTCAGCTTTCTCATGAGGTTTCATTATCGTAATGGGAATCTGTAAATGCATATATGAAACAACCGAGTTAACTTGTGGTAGCACCCCCAAAAAGTGAGATGGTCTATTCAAATTCTCTGATTTTATAAATGATAGTCTAGAAAGGTGATGTGACTCACCCAGGATCTCATTCCTCAACTAAACATTGTGCAGTACAATTTCTAGAGAAAATGCTTCTGCAAAGTACAGGCAACAAACACAAGTTTTCTACTGTCCTCCCTTTACTTGTGTCCGTATTTAGTGGATATGTCATCTCTGACAACCTCAGATGCTTTATTTATCAAATAGGAACTTTACTTCCTGGCATACAGTCTCATTGTCCAATGACAGCATTTAGAGTCCAAACTTAGAAGGGTGGGGGTGGGGGGGGGGGTGTCGAAGACCAAACAAATGAACAACTCAGATGCCTTGTGATTAAGCAACAGCAACTTTTTACCCAGCTCCTAAATATATTGATTTCACTTAACTCTCACTCAATAATAGTACTTGGTGTGGATTGTTAAAAAGTGGTAGTAATAGCTCAGGGCTCAAGGTGAACTTTTGAGTGATAAATTATCCTTCAGGCCATGTGTGATCCTTTATGTCCACTTCCTGGGAATTTCTGTGATTTTGTAATAGAATGGCTGCCCTAAGAGTTCTAATGGTAAAATGTATATTTTATATAATATATATTATGGGTGTGTGTGTACACACACACATATATGTTCTTGATTACAGAAAGAATCACTACCATTTCCTCCACAAAGTATATTAAGAATACTAAGAGCTACATTGTGGGCAAAACAAGGTGACAAAATCTTACTGATTGGTTGAACACTACATGACCCTGGCCAACGAGCAGCTTCTCATTACAGAATTAGGAGTTGGGCTAAACTTGAGTCTGGCCTTTTGGTAACTCTGTTTCTTCTCATTTATATTTTCCAGAGATAAAATAAAGCTTTGTAAATTTAGGAATAAAGTAACCAAATTATTATTATTCACTGCTTAATAGCAGTCATAGCTATACTCTCCATCCCAGAATCTCCCAGTCTGGGGTCCACGGATCCAAAGGGATCCATGAGTATAAATTTTTTTCTGTTTTTTTAAATGGACCGGGATTCAAATAAATTTAAGAATCACTTAATCTACCCTATAGAGATATGTCATATTTTTATCTGGATTCCAAATATTTAAAAAATCATCCAGAATATTTGGATTCAAAACCTATTTTCATAGACAAGTAATAGTTGGCCTTTGTTATTTACCAATATTGCTCAGAGAAAACCAAGAAAAAACATCTAACATGTTCATTGAAATTGTTAATTTTAAATTTTATTTAATAGTACGTTCTGAAAAAAAAAAAAGACCTCAGCAGATATTCAGATAAACTCTAAATTTTTCTTAAAATGCACTGTTAAGATATCTATAGTACTGCTAAGTTCATAATACTTTGAAGTTGAAGTGCACATTTCCTTTGGCTCCATTTCTGATTTTCCATGCCCCAGCCTCTGAAGAAAGGGTGTAGGCCTTGACTGAGGGTCCTCAGCCAGAGGCCAATCTTCTGTTGGAATAATTTCTCCTGGGACCAGAGTGAGATACCAGTGCTGTGTGTGAGCCTTACTCTCAAGTATGGAGACAGGTTCAGAGTTCACAGGGCCATTGGTTTTTAAATGGCTACAAAAGTGGACTGAGGCCAGCTGTCAGGCTGGTGTTTGGGGGCAGAGTCTTAAACTGGCTTCCAATTTTTAACAAAAGCATGGGGAGGAAAATGCTCAGGGCTCTGCCAGCAGATTAGCTGAGCATGGAAATCCTGCTGTATCTAAATATGGCGTATTCCAACTAGAGGCTCACTGCAAAGGAAAGTTGTCCTATGCCAGCCCTTGGAACAGTGGGCCTTTGTTTTCTCTAAAAGTACATTTCCTTGCAAGATTTTTTTTTTTTTTAATCAAGGGGAACATTTATAGTTTTCTAGACTATAAGAACTAATGAACGGACCCTATACACAGTGCCAGTATCTAGCTATAAGGAATACTACTTTTAAAAAAAAGCCCTGTAATAAATGCCTTACTTTTTAAGCATACTTAAGCACTTTCTCTTTAAAAAATTCTGTAAATACAATATATGATTCAAATAAGAAATGACTTGAATGTTATGGCCTATGATCTAGACTGTTCTGTGAAATCAAGAGAAGAAAGGAAGAGCTGGTGGTGCTGATTTAGGCATGGAGAAGGGAGCCACAGATAGAGGAGCCCCTTGTGTTGTGCCTTCCATGGCACTATCACTTCTTGTCCAGCTTTGCCAACAAGGGGGTTGGGGGTGGGGAATGTGGAGGGCAAGTATTTCACTGAACTTTTTTGAGTAGCAAACACCTTTGCCCAAAAGCTCCACCTCACATCAGATTTTTAGAGTTTCAGTTAGATACTTCTATAGACATGTAGGTGAGAAGAACCACTACTCTTAAATTTTCAGGAGTGCAATGCCTATCAGAGACTAATGCCCACTAGGAGTGATATACTCACCGTGACTGTGTTTTCTTCGATCACATATATCTGGGGGTTATAGGTGTCGATTTCTGCAGATGCCGTCAGCTGTACTGTCTGGAAGGTTGACTGGAACATAAGAACAAAGAATATGTTATCTTAGCAGAAGTGAATGCATGAAATTGCCATGTTTATTTATTTCCTTGAGGAAAATGACAAAAGTAAATGGCAACTCTGAAGACTGCAGAATCTTTGTGTTCTTAAATTGATGATCTGTGTAGGACCACTCATGAGAAGGACCTGGGGGACTGGACCTGTGGGTGGGTGGGCCCTGCCACAATGGCAAATTAAACCTTGGCGGGAAGGGGGAGTGAGGTACAGGGCTGAGGGTGAAGTCCAGGCATTGCAGGTTAAAAACAGCTCCCCAGGTGATTCTAAACTGTTGAAAGACAAAGGTTTAGAAATGAAGTTTTTAATTGGGAAAGATCATGGTTCAGATATTTAGAAACTTTATGAAGTTTGCAACATGAAGGAACGTTGCACACTTTATGTTTTTATATATTTACGTAAGTCAAATAATGGAATGAAAGATCAGATTAAAAACAGTAAAAGTACACTTATACTTGACCATGCATGTCCGTAGCAGACCCCCTGAACCTTTTGTCATGCTACATAAGGAGTGATAATTTCAGGTTTCCTAATCCAAGTTTTTCTATAAAAAATAACTGTATTTGGTGCAGACATATAGGAAGGACACAGATTTTTATGGTGTTAACTAGTAACCACCTAATATGAAATAGCTTTACATGTATTCCTAGATCTAGATACAGAAAAATCATTTTTCAGTGGATACATTATTGATGGGTATTTTTTCTATAATGCAGTTATTGGGACTGATGCTTACTTTGACACAGCATACAATGCTCAGATTGGAGAACTGCCTTCATGTGCTCTGGCTACTAGCATTCAGTTTTTCTGGTTACCAAGGCACATGTTTCAACATCCTTCATGAGGTAATTTGCTAAATTATATCTGGGAGGCAGAAGGAGAAGGCATATCCAAAAAGTGAGCAATTTATTTCCTTCCCCCCCTCCTCAGTCTCTGATTTGTCTTAATTTTCTCAAGATGGAAGATTGCATCAGAAGTCAAGCCTGATCACGTGTGTCTTAAACATATTACTGGGGAAACATTTAGAGTATTGATAATGGTTTCCTTTAAAAAAAAAAAAAAAACATTTAGGTGATGCTGGTGTCATAGTCCCTGTAGACTAAAGAGAATTTCTTTACAACACTGACCTATCTGCCCTCCCAAACCTGGCCCTTTGTGCAGCTGTGTACATGATGCCCTGCAGGGTTAACGAGCAGTGGTAGTTACACCATGCACACCTGGGAGAATGAAGTCACACACCAGCTGGCATTCCACAAGGCTTTGCCTTAAAAATGGCAGCCAGCAATGCCATTGATTTGGAGGCCTGAGCAATCACTTTGTGAGGAAATTAACTTGAAATGTTCACTTGCACTGCATCAGAAAAAGGGTGAAAGGCAGTATGTTCATGGGGTGTACTACAGGAAAGGAGGTTCATATTGCAGACTGGATCTCCTGGGTGGTCTGAGAACAGGCATCTGGCTGTTAAAAAAGCTGAAAAGAAGGTGAGAATAAACATTTGACCTTTCATGAAAGAGGAAGATGTGTAGGAATTGACAGACAATTACTCTAATTGGAGTTTTTTCAGCTTACCCATAGCCACGTCGAAAAAGCATAAATACATTTCTTCAGAAATTTGCTCGAGAGATGAAACTGCTGCTCTTGAAAATTTTGGGGAAGGTACTTTAAAAAGTCTTAACGTTAAAATAATACAGTTTTACACAAACTCAAAAAAGCCCAAATGCTTTTTATAGAGCCAGCACTATTGCATTTGGATTCACAACAGTTTTCCTTCCCTGCTGGCAAAGATTGCTAGGAAAACATTTGTTCCTCAAATCCAAGGAGGCAAGAAACAATTGGTGAAATCTGGCACCAAACCCCATCAGCTGGGATGGTGGTGTAACTCACTGCGTGCTTCCCATCTTATAGGATTTGGAGGTATCTGGAAGGCTTGCAAGTTAGTGTAAGTAACAAGAAAAGCCATCAAGAAGAAAACCGAGCCCCTCCATGCTCATATTTCTCTGTTCCCCTCCCTGCCTTTCACTGTTCCTTTTCTATTATGTCTTCTATTCAATCCAAGAATATTGCTTATTCCAGGGACCAGTTCAAACTCAGTTCGCTAATCTGAAACAAGACTCCATAGCAGGGAATGGGGCTGTTGTAGAGATCATGAAATGATTAGAAAATGGTTGGTAAGTACCTTGAGGACTGATTACTCATTAAAAAAAAAATCCACAAGAACCATGAGGACCCCTGGCATGGGGGTGTTTCAGACTAATTTATATTTTGCTACCTTGATCAGAGCCAGTGTTGATAAAACGAATAGCTAGCTACTTATGCAGTCAGCTTTAAGGAGCCCTGTCTATCCCTATACTTTTCATGTCTGACAGATTCTGGCTACAGAAATCTCTGCTGAAAGCAGGTATCACTACTGCAGAGGCCAAATAGAAGAAAACATTGACATAGTTTTGACACCTTCTTTAAACTTTTCATGAGACAAAAGATTTAAAAAGTTGTATGCATACTGGGCTTTCACCAAACAGGAGAGCAGAGTAGTCCCAGGGCTCTAACATAGGAAGATAAACACTTATTGTTGGATTTATCTGCATGGTGGGTTGAGATCAATTAGCTGGAAACACAGGGAATGAGACAGACTTAGGCACTTTGATTTGGACATGTTAGAGGTGACGAGGGAGACAGAACTATCAAGAACATGAGGATGAAGACAGAGCAGGTGGCGCATTGTACCTCAGGACAGCACAGGGGATCCTGACGATATCTCAGAGATTCTGGTGTTAGAGGTGGGCATGGAGTCCATGAAGCTGATGCTTTACAAGCACCGCAGGTGATTCTGAGGCACAGCCAGGTTGGACAAGCTTTGGAAAGGGATGGAAGCATATTGCCTTCCAGGATATAATTGCTTGGAGTCATTTGGGCATTGCTGATATTAGCAGCCAGAATACCACTTTTGTCAAAGGGTATGAATTTATTGACAATGAAACCTTCTGCTTCCTTGCTATTGATAAGCCCAACAAATAAAGCTTATACTTACTGCTGCAAAAGTCCCGTTCCAAATTCTGGTTGACACATTAAGGAAGTACTCTCTTTTGACCTGGAGGTCTTTCAGCCAGCAGGTAACATTACTACATGAAGCACTTCTGCAGTTCTTTCAGGTCGGAGTCAATGGTAAAAAAAGAGAATCAGTATGGACTTTAAAAAGTAAATGCTGAAAATTTAAAGATAGATAAAACCCAGTGCTGGGGAGGATCTAGGAAACAGACAACCTCATTGAACTGTTAGTAGTCCTAACCCTTCTTCAGGTGACTGTGACACTTGTCTTCAAAAGGTAAAAGGTGCACACCCTTTGCCCACGCCATTTCCCATCTGTGTGGAAGGCCTCGGGAGAAAACAAATGTGTGGAGAAGAGTACATTAAGCCTGTTTATTGCATTACTATTTCTGAGAGTAAAAATGCCCCTAAAATGAAATAATTGTGTTTATCCACAACATACTAAATTATTGAATATACACGCACAAAATGCAGTGCAATTTAGTCATTAAACACAATTGACAAGGGGGCGCCTGGGTGGCTCAGTAAGATGAGCGTCTGACTTTTGATTTCGGCTCAGGTCATGATCCCAAGGTCGTGGGGTTGAGCTCCACATTGGGTTTTGCACTGAGCATGGAGCCTACTTATGACTGACTCTCTCCTTCTCCCCTACCCCCATCTCCTGTCCCTTGCTCATGCTCTAACAAAAACATAGTTGATGAAGATGCATTCCTCAGATGAAAAAAAAAGTTGACAGTAAAAGAATCGGTGGTTGCCAAGGGTTGCGGAGGGAGGACTAGATGGAACACAGAGTTTTAAGGTATTGAAACTAGTCTGTATGATACTAATAATTGTGGATACATGTCATTAAACATTTGTGAAAATCCATAGAATAACTGACCTTAAGAGTAAATCTTGATGTAAACTATGGACTTTGGATGATTATGATATTGTCACTGTAGGTTCACTGAATGGACCACTCTGATGTGGGAGGAGATTTGGACAGTGGGGGAGGCTGTCACATGTTTGGGACTAAAGGTAGTTGGGAAATTCTGCTGTACTTTCCACTCAGTTTTGCCGTGAACCTCAAACTGCTCTAAAAAGTGAGTATATTTATGTTGGGATGAGCACTGGGTGTTATAGGGAAACCAACTTGACAATAAACTATTTAAGAAAAAAATTAAAAGTAAGTATATTTTTAAAAAAAGTCAATGACCGATTGACCTATTAAGAAAAGGTAGCATGGTCAATTTATGTAACAGTATACATGTATCTTGGTGTGGATGAATACTTAGATATTACAGAGAAGGATATTCATTAAATACTGAGTGGTCAGCTGTTAAGTTTCTAGAGGACGTTAGTTTCTTTGTAGTGTTTATGTGCTGTTAGTTTTAGGTTGTTCACAGTGATCAGTTGCCCCTTTTACAAACTCAAAACATTTTCACAAAAATAAGGAAAATGCTCAGAGGTATAATATTTTGGCATACTTTGAGATGGTTTCTCCTGGACATTTTTACATACTACTGTTTAGATAGAAGTCATATTTACACTGTAATTCTATTTTAGTTACTTTAAAAAAATGATTTCATGCTCCTATTTTCCTGTACCCCCTCTCCCTCACTCCATTCACCAAAAAATAAAACCAGTGCAATAAAAGAAAACCAGAATTTCAGTGTTGTTCTTAGTGGAGAACTATGGTTTGTTTAGGGTCACTCTTTGCTAAACATTTACTATTTGAGTACTTAGTAGGTGTCAAGCACCATACCAGATGCTAGTCTAGCCTCTTTCTCAAAGAAAGGGGCATAGTTCTGGAGCAGGAGATAATAAAATTTTGGAAAACAGATGGTGGCCAGAGGCATCTTAAGCAGCTAAATAAGACATCAGTGATTATGTGGGAGGGAGATGTAAAGGGCTTCACCTTCAAAGCACACATATGCTTCCCTCACAGCTCTTTGCAATGCTTACTTATAAAGTGCCTGATACAAAACAGTAGTTTCACATGGAATCCTTTTGATTTCATGAAATATGGAACATATATTCTATATTAGCGGCATAATAATCTGGATTTGAGAGTATATTTTCTAAGTCTCGATTCATATAGCCCATCAAAGCCAAAATGAGAAAGTTCTACCATAGGAGATGGTAGGAGAAAAGTGCATTGATTTCCAGGTAAAACAATGAATCACCCAAAGAAACTGTCACCCCATTAACCTGTCCTCACCAATTCTTTTATGTGCCGGAAATTTTCACTGTTGAAAGATACAGAAGAAGCCGTGTGTCCTATTTTCAGTGGATTTATTTCGGCATTACAACTGATGTCGCCAGCCTACAAAGAAGAATATCAAATCAGTCTCAGGAAGCAAAGTCATCTGTGATGTTCCTCTTAACATGTCAGGAAATCTTGGGGTCACATGTCGGGGCAGAGGAGGAGCCACTAGGCTGTTTTCACTTGGCTGACCTGGCCATACTCCTTGTAGTCTTTAATGTAAACTTGGGGGTATTCAAATCCTCCTGGCACCACTTGGTGGGGCAGCATGGGTGCTTACGGTCTGGCATGTACTAAGACCATCTGCAGTAACACTAGGCTATGAGTGATTTGATTCAGGGTTCTTTTCCATGGACCATTTTAAGATTCTGATTTCCGGTAGTTACCTATGCACACACCCCAGGAGTAACACTACTGGAGAACCAGCTCTAAGTGCCAGACTAAGGCTGAGCCAGTGTCAAGGGTTTTGGCTACACAGTGCTTCTCAACCCAGGCTGCATGTTAGAAGCACCTGGAAGTGGGGGCTTCTAAGGACTCTCTGGTGGTGCTAGCGTCTTAGCCCTGGAGATTCTAATTGTCGGGGGGTGGACCTGGGCATGAGGCCCTTTTGATAAAAATGAGGAACCGTGTTGATCACTACCAGGTGGAAGGCCAAGCCAGTGTCTTAAAGACCAGCTACTAATTGCAGCTGTGTGGACCAACTACTCTCCCATGATGGGTTCGACCTCATACTTGCCAGTGAACTAACTGCTCAATAGACCGGGCTCTGACACAGTCAGATCTTCACCTGGCCAAAACAAGGCTTTAGGATAATTGCTGCCATCTCCAGTTGTTTCCTTATAACAGTTCCTGTTTCTGATAGGACACTGACTGCTCCTTACCTGGCACTCAGGATGCATAACATTTATCTTCTCAGTTTTCCATCCATAAGATCTGAGACACAATCACCCTAACCTCACGGGGTATTTCCATATTGAAAGTGCACAATTTTATAGGCAATTCAGTTGCCCTTACCTGATCTGTGTGCACCCCAGTCACGTACATCAACGGGTTCTGTTCTTTGGTGTATTGAGGGATGTGGATGATCATGGATGCCATGCTGACTGGGATGCTTCCTGTTGTTACCTATGTAGTATGGAAGAAAACATTCTGGTTACTGCTAGATCATGCACGTGTTGCAGATAAGGTGATCAATAACTTCTGGATTGATGGAGGGCAACTATTAAGTGGTAAGCCTGAGGCCATTTGAAAGTAAGCCTTGTTTTTATAGTCACAGTCGGGTCTGTGTGTCTCATCTGAATCTCAGCCTCTACAGTTTGAACTGGTGAGTTGTGATTTAGAAGCTGGTTAAGAATACCTGCTGTCTGTTGAGGGGGCCCTACCAGGGCTGAAGTTCCATTTGGCCCCTGACTGGCAGTGTGGCTTGGGCAAGATACTTAACCTCTGTATCCTTCAGTTTTCCTCATTTGGAAAATAAAAATAATCAGCAACTTAGTGCATATGTGCAGGTATAGCATTTGTTCTCATGGATGGGGAGTCTGTTCTATTGGCCAAGGATCATGTCCTACTGGTTGTTAAACATTTTAAATAACCATAGGATTAATAGTTCTACCAACATTATAACTAACCTGGGAAATGGGTTAACATATATAAAGCACTTGATATAAAGTGCTGATACTTCTTACACTCTATGAATGTTATTTTATTGTTACTAATTGAGTAAATATCCCATTAAAGAAGTAGTTGCCAAATATTAGCCACATGTAAATTCCAGTATCTGCCTCACAAATCAGGACTTTTAAAGATTTTTTTTTAATCACCAAATCGTTAGGTTGTAACCATGTAACGAACCAGAAGGAAATGTAAAAAAATTTAAAAAAATCAGATGGTATTCATTTAAGGTTGTGGATGAAATCTGTTTACTTTCCAAATTTTCTATAATTATAAAATAAGCATTTTTTCCACAAACTTCCTTTTATGTAACTGATAACAATCTATAGATTAATAATTGCTTACTAATAGCCAATGGAAACTGAAATTTGTGTACAAATGGTTAGCTTCTCAAGTAGAAGTGGTCTCCAAGGATAAATAGCATCTTATATTCCAGAGACTTTTGCTCATGGTAATAACATTATATTAATACACTGTTGATTAATATTTAACAGTTACTTTCAAAATATATCCATTAGCTTTTACCCAGAACACATAGCTATGCACAAAAGCCCCAGCTATTTATTGAGAGTCTTAGTGATTCTCAAAGTATAGCACCTGGACCAGCATCATCAGCATTACCTGGAAACCTGGTTGAAATATACATTTTTAGGCTCACCATAGACCTACTGAGTCCGAAACTGAGGATGGAGCCCAGTGACATGTGTCTTAACAGTCTCCCAGGAGATTCTAATGCAGATCAAGTTTGAGAACCACTAGTATATTCAACATTTTACTTTATTCTTCTCTTCCTGGTTTCCTTATTTTCTCTTTCCCTTTCTCCTGATTTGGTATGTTTTTTAATGTTTATTTTGGGGGGAGAGAGAGCGCACACAGGGGAGGGACAGAGAGAGAAGACGACACAGAATCCAAAGCAAGCTTCAGGCTGTCAGCGTGGAGCCTGATGTGGGGCTCAAACTCACTCCAGAGACATGAGATTATGACCTTAGCTGAAGTCAGATGCTCAACAGATTGAGCCACCCAGACGCCCCATGACTTAGTATTCTTTTGACAGGCTTACCAACCTTAACAGAGAAGATGAATTTTGGACCAATATCTTCAAAACTGTGCACGATTGAAGGAATATTCCCATCTGAGGAGACTTCATAGAAATTTATATTGGTAGATCTGTTGAATGATGTTTGTAAAGCCAAAAATTTTAGTTTTGCTGTTGTTCTTGAACTTTAATATTTCTTTCATTTAAATATCTATCTTATATTACAAGTAAAAGTTTATGTTAAGGTATGAAAACATGCTATTTCTATGCTTATGTTTCTAAGGCTAAAACAAATCCTTTAAACACCTATCTCTTCATGAGCTTTCTGCAAGGTTCTTTGTGTTACATATTTATCAATTGTAAAGTTTCTAAAACAAGTACAAATGTGTTACTTTAAAACTGACAGGACCCAAGGTTGCTATTATACTGACTGGTGTATTCACGCCGTGCACACTTAGTCCTTGTTGATTGGATGAATGGATTTATAAGCCAGAGGATTTTCTACTTGGGTGGCTGAAGTACAGTGATAGGATTTTAGCTCCCGCAGTATTTGTTACTGGATGCCCGTAAAACAGCGTATACATTTTCTTTACCATTCCTTCTCCCTTTCCAAACCAACTCTAATGCTTTTGGTCTGAACTGAGGTTGGTCAGTGGGTTTCTGTGACTTGTGTAGAAACAGCCTTCTGGGTGGCTGACCCAGACGTTTTATCAGACCAAACCTAGAGGTATTAGGTGATTCGACCTCTTTGCTTGGAATTGCCAACTTGGGTTTGCAAGTGAAGTGAGGACCAGATCAGAGAAATCCCCACAGGACCACTCAACTTGGCACATAACTAGATACCCTTCCCTGTCCTCCTCACTCATTTCTGGGGCTGATGCTGGATTCCAACCAGGATAGCTTCATTGGGACTGTAGGGAGTGGGTAACAGGCATAGGAATCTGAAAAGCAATAGTTCCTTCCACTAAACAATTTAGCATTATTCTTGGATGTTGATTCTATTTCCTAAAAAATAGAACTGGATATTTTCTGAGATCGTTTTCAGGTTTCTTTACTGAATTCTTGTCTTTTTTTATGTTTAAAAACTTTTCCCCAAATTCTCAAAAGGAAAATATGTCATAGGTAGACTTAAATAGATGTGACATTTGTCAAGGGTATGTAGATGAGAGGAAACAATGATTTGTCAGCCTTACATGGAAAATGGGAAAACTGACTAGAATTTGAAACACAAAACCTGGCCGTATATGCAGGATTTATTCTCTACCTTCCAGAAGACCTTTGTGTAGCCCCTAAGAACAGTTTCTAAATTAGTATGTTCTGTTTTTGCATTTTAAAGAGATCTGACATTTTTCCATTTCTTAAGTTTTCCTTAAGTTACTTAAGTGTAGATGATCAACGTATTTACAAGCAGTTAGCTATACTCTGGGGGCTTCTGTTTTAGAAATAATTCTATCATGGTTTCCACGTATAATATTTGTACAACATAACTGCATATTTATCAGAGTGGTTGCTAAGGGATATGCTCAATGAATGGGTAGAATTTTTTTCCACAAAGTTTGCAAAGGTGTTAATTTTTTTTTTAGAGCACTGCTTGTGATGGTTAAACAAAAATGCAAAACATCCAAATATCTCATTAATCTTGAATTGGATACACAAATTATGATCCAGCCAGGAATAGGATAGGTTCGATCTCTAGGTCTTTATATATAAACTTCTCTAAGGTCATATGTTTTTTTAAAAAAGTGAGATTAAGGAAGGATTTTATTATTCCATTTGGGTAAATGTGTGTGAGTGCATGACATGCATATATCCTGGTAGATCAACAAACCTTGCATCTGGAAGGTATTTGGAAAATAGTGGAATCATCTGTGGGATGACCAGAGCCAGAGGAGGTTGGAGGCATGACCTCACTTTATTGTATATCTTTCTGTAATGTTTAGATTTCCTAGCCATGTACATTTAATGTCTTTCTTTAAAAGAATATCAGGAGGAATGATCTGGGTGGTAGGGTTAGGAATCATTTTAGTTTTTCCACACCGTAATTCCATATTAATTTTAATTTTTTTTTCACCTTTCAGGTATATTTTAAAGGACATCAGATGGTCTTAAAATTCAAGTTGTCATCACAGAAATACAGAGCTAAGATGTTCCTGAAAGTGAAGTCCCACTTCCATCTTGTACTTATTTCACGTCGAGAAAGTTGTCTGGACAAATTGGTCATGGTGTGGGAGTGGAATGAAATAAAAGCTGTTTTGAGGAAAAACATTCAGGATATGAATCAATGTAGGTAGGAAGAGAAAATAATCATGTAATGTGGTAATCTCAATCTCTCTGGATGCGTTGGTCTTCAATTCTTTCAGCACTGAAGATCGTTTTGGAATCTGCAGTTACTGATACATTTTTCAAGGACGGATGACTTGGGCTGGACCAGTCTTTGCTTTTGCTGTTTTCAGTTCACTTGATATAGGAGCATTCTTTCATCTTTGCTCATGTGTCTCACGCTCTAGACATAATGACACATTTTCCTTTTTGTTTCTGCTCGGTGATCTAGTGCATGATCTATGTGTTCCATGCTTTTGGGGGTTGGGGTAATGCAGCGAGCTGGAGAAATCTGTTACTGAACACTGTTCAGAGCCTGGTTTCTCAGAAATACAGTGCAGCTCATTTTCGAGGCACCACTGAGCTGTGCTAAGAAACTGCCTTCACGCCTCACTAGGTAGAGAACTCTGGTTCCCAGGCCTAGAGGTGGGCATCACCTGCGGGTGGGTACCTACCTGCATGGCTCTGCTCTAGTGTGTCTGCACCTATGAACCTGCTTCACTTCCTACCGAGGATTAAGGTGACACATCACCCTCCTAGTGCCTGTGGTTTCCCATGTGTTAGACACTTCAAGACACCTGGCCCAAGATAGCTGATACCAACCGGCATCATTTTGCCACTGCTCCCAGGTACACTTGCTCTGGCCAGGCAAGATAAGGGAATAAAACATTTCTTCATAGATGACCTCGTTGGAAAATGCCTCATTTCCCCTTGGTTGAAAGAAACCCATTATGTTAAGTCAGAAATTTTCCACCCCGAAACTAATTTTCTATGATTCAGTTTAATGTTTATGGTGGACCTACTATGTACAAAGCATTGTGCTTGGGGTTCTGGTGCTCAGAGGTGGGGCTACCGCTTGAGAGCTCATGCGGATAGTAGGAAGAAGCATGGAGAAGAAAGTGGTGCCACCTCCTCAGGGCCCAGAGAGTTCTGCTTTGACCCTTTGGGAAGACTGGCCCCTCATCTGAGGGGCTACAGAGGAAGTGCTCTGTGGCCTATGGCAGAAAGTTTGCTCCCTGCTTTTCTGGTGTTGCTCTAGGTCAGTAAACCTCAATAGTTGTGTAAGGTTTTCCTAAGGACTGACTTGTCCCTGAACTTCCTCTGTCCTAGTTGACAAGGGAGAAACCTGTAATTCAGATTTTCTAGTTAAGAATGAACACACAGAGTCATGAGCCAGATGTGTTCCAAACTGAGTGATATCAGTGGCCACAGGCTACTCACGGTTTCACCTACCTTGTTATATGAATATCAGCGTCATACAGCAGAGGGATTTTGAAATTGACCAAATTATCTGCCTTGTTTTCTTCAGAGCTTTCGCTATTGGAATGAACATTAGGAAATTACTCTGAGAACGTTATTGAAGCCATCTATCATCAGTTCATGACTTCATTAGGCGTTACCTTAAGGCTTGGAAATTGAGAGATGCCTGATTCTGAAGGTTTTGAAGATTGAAGTCAAAGTTAATCATGAAAGTCACCTATAACCAAAATTGAAACCCATCAATCTATGATGATTTGTACTCAGGGACCAATTACAAAGATGTTTCCCAGAAAAGCAAACTCACTCCAATTTGATCCTGAATTTTATATACCTTAAGCTTTCATCTCTGTAGAATATCTATTTGTCCACTTTGCTTCATTTAGCGTGCCTCCCCTTTAGAATTAGAGGGCTTACCTTTCAAGTGACATGTATAGATCATCACATCATGGCCAGATCTCCTCTGAATTTGAAAGCTCTGTGCTGACTGGAAATTTGCTTAGCAGGAGTTAAGAAATGATATCTGGGACTCTATACAGCACTCTGACTAGTGTTGGTCAATGTATGAAAGAGAGACAGAGAGACAGAGAGACAGAGAGACAGAGAGGGAGGGAGGGAAGGAAGGAAGGAAGGAAGGAAGGAAGGAAGGAAGGAAGGAAGGAAGGAAGGAAGGAAGGAAGGAAAAACTCTCCATGTCGCATGTGCTTTTGAAATGAATTGCATGGGGAAAAGTCCCACATTTATTAATAACTTAAAATTCAGATATTTTTAAAACTTCTTCTATACAGCTAGTTCTTTTTAAGGGCTGTCAAATTACATTACCTAACAAAGAAGGCGAAATGGTGGGGTGAATTAACACTAGTGCCGAGGAGGAGCTAGTGTGGATTTGATGATGAAATGTAAGTTGTACCTGTTGCTGTCTCTTTAAAGCAGGGTAGCCTACATCACAGGTAACAGACTTCTGAGATGAAGCAATCTGGCATATGACTTCTGTTCCATCAACCTGAAAGACACCAAGGAAACAATGATCAATTAGTATGTTGTGTGTGTGTGTGTTGTGTTGTGTGTGCACACGCACACGTCCACATACATGCTGAAGGATGTGTAAACCAAATGGACATCTTAGCAGCAGAACTGGTTCACACTGAAGTAATTTACTGTCCCCCAAGATTTGGAAATCTTGTATTGTCCGGATAGCTAATATACTATTTTTATTGCTAACAGGACACCCAATAAGCCAAAAGTGAGGTCAAATACTGGAATTTTCCCCCAGAAGTAAATTCCAGTTCTTCTATTTCAGAAGCATAGAATAACTTTAATATTTAGAAATGCTGTCTTTAGTACATACCTTTCTCTCAATTTATTTGAAGTTAATAGTTTAAAGAAAGGAAAGCAAAATCATATTGTTGGTGTTTGTATTTTAAATAATTTAAAGAATGTTTTTTAGTTTTCCTTGTTTTTTCCCCCTCTTTGAAATAAGAAGTTCTTATTTGGCACAGGAAATTGAAGCATTGAAGTCACAATAGATTTAGAACATTAAATCTGTTAAGTTTGTGTTGACCTTTTTCAAATTCTTTTGTCAAGTAGTGAATTTGGGAAATCTCAGCTTTTGCCTCCTCTCCCTTTCATTGCTTGGTGGCAAAGGAGGGGCCAGAGGGGCATGCATGGCCAAGTGCGTTCCTGGTATAGTGATCAAGTCAACATGATTAACTGCTCGCTGGAATGCATCTTCTTGGCAGTAGCAAGGCCTGTGGTTACAAAGCCTGGACTCGGCTGTGGGACTCTAATTTCTCGGAGCAAGTGCAGCTCAAAGCATCTGTGCGGCACCTCAGCGGCCTCCTCACACAGATGGCTTGAGAAGAGTTATGGTAGGTGTCTGGCCAAGTCTCAGGCCAAAGGAAAAACTGACCATGCTCTGAAGCAGCACTGGTCTAGATATAGAGCCAGGCTATGTTCTCATGTGGTTTAAATACTTGGGAGCCCCAAAGTTGGGACTGATCACACTGAAGGGTAAGGTACTTCTTCAGACAGCACACGGAACCTGGGGATCTGAGTGCGAGGAAGACGGTCGATTAACGACAAGCAGGAGACAAGAGCAGTGAGCACAAAGTGTCGTCACATACCGGCATGGTCCAGGAAGCAAAAAACAAGTTTTCTGAAAAATCAATAACAATTCCAGTGTTGTAGGCACTTTCCCTTTTATTCTTCAGCATTACTGAAAATGTTAACCTTTTGTTTTGGTTGCTGACAATAAAGGGTTGATCTCTGTTACAAGTGAAAAGGAAAGGAAGAAAATTATTAAGGTTAAAAGGGCCAGTGTTCAAATACTTCACTCATTTTAAAGAGAAGAAGATAAAACTCTTTAGATTTGAAAGCCTGAGGAAGTTGTTTAATAAACTATCTTCCTAGTAAAATGATACAGACAACAAGGAAGTCAACGCTATTGGATTTTCTTCTTTGTTGATTTTAATTATATTGTAAGGAAAGGAGCCATCCAAATTCAAATGCTTTTTATTTATTACTGTTTTACTCCTAGAAGGATGGTAAAAATTGAAGTTCAGATTTTAAAGATCTCTATTAGTTACGGATGTTTCTTTTGCAGGAAAAAAATCTCCATAAACACTCATTTGAATCAAGGCACTAATGTGTCTTATTTCTACATTTTATGCTGAGCTCTGAAGCAGACTTACTGAGCAGCTGACAGCTGTTGGACATCTAGAACTAGATCAGAGCTGCAGACTCCGTCATCCCCACAGTCCTTGTAGAAAGGGATCTACAAAAAAGGAAAAACAATCCTACACATTTGCTTTTGACTTAAAATCCAAATTGTGGAAGAATATATGTAGAAGTATTCCATTTATATAAAGCTCAAAACCATACAAAAATAAAAAATATTTTAGGAATATATACATGGTTAGCAACACCAGGAAGAAAAGCATTGATAAATGCAAAATGCAAGGTGATGATCTGCCTCGGGGAGCAAGATGAATGTGGATGTGATGGGGTAGGGAGAGATACAGAGAACATAGGTATTGGCAACATTTTTAAAGTAGACGGTGAACACAAGGTGTTTGGCTTTATGGTTATTTCTTCAACCGATATTTATTCAACACCTCTAGTGCCCCAGGCACTGCTCAAGGGGCTGGGAATAGAAATAGATTTTTGAAAACAAAAATCGCTATCTTTGTGGACCTTGTATGCTGATGAATTTCACATAGAAGGGTGTTTCATTTAGAAGACTAACAATTGAAAAGTTCTGTCCTAGGTAGCTTTCGAACACTATTGCAGTGACTGTGAAGCTTTCTTAGCCAGTCTGAATTCCAAGAAGGGCACTTACACTGAAGACCTTGGCCTTCTCAGAGTAGGCTTCAAGCGCAGGGCTGGTGCCAGGGTTTTCCAGACTGATGTTCACACACAGATCCAAAGAGCTGACAACATCGGAGGGTTTCTAAACACATAGAGACACAGAAACAGTGAAGCAGTTTATTAGGGCTCGGCAACTTCAAAATAAGAAAATGACAACAAATGTGTTGTTCATGATTAAGAGCATAGTCCGTTCTCAATTATGTGGAATTATCCTTGTTTTGAATTTTCAAGACTCTGGCTTCTTTATGTCTTAATTCTGCTCAGCCTCTCCAAGTCTTCTTCTATGAAGAAACCTAGAGACTTGGGTTCAGTAAAATATCTAAACCAGCAAATCTTAGTTTAGCTCATCAGTCACCTTGCTATTCATAAACAAGTAATAAATATTTAGAGGCTCTGCCCAATTTTAATGCTTAAAGGATCTTTTGGGGCACCTGGGTAGCTCAGTCAGTTAAGTGTCCGACTTCGGCTCTTGCCTTTGAGCCCCAAGTTGGGCTCTGTGTTGACAGCTCAGAGCCTGGAGTCTGCTTAGGATTCTGTGTCTCCCTCTCTCTCTACCCCCTCCCCGACTCAAGCTCTCTCTCAAAAACAAACAATTTAAAAAAAAAAAAAAAAAGGACCTCTCTCAGCACATCGTTCTTGGGTTGTTGGCTAGGTCTTTCCAGTTCCTACTGCCAAGATTTAAGAAGGTCTTTAGATATCCTGACCAAATCTTTGTGAGGGAATATTATGACCTAGATGGGAAGGTGCTCAGGACCGGTGTCAGACAATAACAAGAGAACTCCCTTCCTTAGCCAGAACCTAACTGTTCTGCAAAACCAGATAAAGGGGATTCCCACATCAGAAACCAGGTCCCCCAATTTCTGGCTCTCACATACTGTTAGAAGCTACACTGCCTCTTGCACACGTTAGATGATGCAAGTATCACTTGGCAGTACAACTTCTCCACTCTGCCTTCATGGTAGAAGGCAGAGGTTTTTCAGCCTTCCAGGATGCATTGGGCTACTCCCAGTTTTTGAGGGTTCCTATCTCCTAAAAAATGTAAAAATGCCAAAACAAGATTGCAAGAGTCATCTAGCGGTTTTCTTACAAACATCTTCTCAGTTCTTGTCAGGAAAGAACAGTATCTCTACAAATGATAAACCCTAAAAATCCAATTTGCCTTTTCCTGATCAGTAGTAATTTTGTTATCACCTAGTCCATTCACAGGCAGGACTTATCTTGCCAGGAGCCCTTTCAGCGGGCAAGGCTAGCATGGCATCCCGACTGTAAGGAGAGGTTTCCTCAGCTGGCTGTGGGGTTGGCACACAGAATGGGTTTGGTGTTGTTATTCAATATAGTGTCTTAACTGAAACAAGATCTCTTCACTGACCCAAACCACACACATCCTCTAAAAACTTCACAAGAACACATCCATGTGAACAGGATATATATGTGAATGACAGCCTGGCTGACTTCATTCCCCCAGACTGGATTCTGTGTTTTATTTGATCTACCACTGAGCACAAAAATAGGAGAGAATGAGAGCCAGCTTTTATCCCTTTAAAGAATCTGTATAGTCTGCATCTTAACAACAAAGTTTCAGGCCTTCATAAACAAGACTTCTTTATTATGAATAAGAAATTAAACGATTCAATGGATTTTAATTCCCCTATTAACTTTGTTTCTCCAACTTGTACTTAGCATTTTTGAGATGGGATCTCTGTCTCATCGATCTATATCAGAACTATCTGGGAGTACTCCTCAAATCTGCATATTCCTTAGACCTTCAAACCCAAATTTCTGGGTGGTGAGGACCCTGAATACAGATTTTATAAAAGTTCTTTTGGCAATTCTTATACATTTTAAATGCTGAGAACCATGTTATAGGAAACTTCGTAAGTAGTTCTTTTAAAAATGGTTTCCAGAGGAAATCACACTTTCAAAGACCATTACATGGTTTCTAAGGGAAAATATTCATATAATTTATAAATTTCCTGTTGGAAATTTTCCTGAGAATTTTTCCTACTTGTGAGATTTTCAAAATTCATGTGAACTGTAGTAACTATGGCATAAGATTAGAATAATTTTTAGCTCATAATCTACCATTCTTGTCCTATATTAATTTAAGTACAATAGGGGAAATCAAAATTGGCACTGTTTGTTTCAGCAGCTTAAAATAAAATTTTTCCCTGATAGGGAAATGCTAAAATTAAATTTACTATCTCTGAAAAGCTCTCCCTGGTAAACATTTAAGAAAGCACTGTCTTTGATTTCTTTAACAATCTTATTTTTTAGACTTTTGGTTATAATTCCAAATAGTGTTTCATGCTACTAATATATTAATAGAATGTGACTATATATTAGCATAAAGAAAATAGGATTTCCTGCTCATGAAATTAGACAAGAAAAGCATTAATTAGAATGGCAAGCATTTTATAACTCATAAGCTCCCTTTTAAGACTTGGACCATTCATTAGTCTCTAAGAGGAAAGGAGGGGACAGAGATGACTGAGGCCTTACCTGTATGTGGATGATGTACTCAGAGCAACTCTGTGTTTGACTTACTGTCATATTCTTCTGCAGGCATCTTTCATTATTTTCTTTAAATAACCCTCTAGAGGTTACTCTGGATGAATACAGGTCTGCATCAATTGTGATATTGTATGTAATGGCTAGGATAAAAATAATGAAGAAATGTTACTACAAATAAACTTTTACAGAAAAACCATCCCTAATTGTATGTTACTGGGTGAAGTCAAGGACTTCAGAAAAATATAAAAACAGTCTTTATGTTGATGGATTGTGAGCTGCAGACAGGCATGACGTTTGTATTTCACACTCTGGTGTGACCTAGGTGACTGTGGATACAGAGAGAGTGATTCAAAGAAGTGTGGCTTGAAGCAGTGGGGAGAAAAGTAGACTTGCTCCCAGGAGACCTACTGAATGAATTTGGTCAAATTACTCACTTCTCAAGCCTTGGTTTTATCACCCCTAACACGGTGAGATGTTAAAGAAATAGCTACTGAGCACCTACAATTGAACACATTCTTATATGTCATCTTTTACAGGTTTTGCTATAATCCCAGAAAGTGGATATGATCATCTCATTTTTCAGGTAATGATAATGAACAGAGTAAAAGAGGTAAAATAAAACCAGCTCTGTTTGCAACAGCTAGGGCGTGGTCAGAAATAAAACTGGAGTAATTTTTAAACCAGAACTCATATTCTTTCATTTCCATGCTGTTGTGAGGATTAACTTATTTGAGTGTTAACTGAAATACTCTGATGGAACATCCTAGATGCTTATTTGGAGGAAGGCATGCAACTCCTTGGTAATAAGTTTGGAATCAGATGGACTTGGTTTGAATTCTGATTCCACCATTTATGAGCTCTAGGACTTTAGGCAATTTGTGTAACCTCTTTGAACTTCCATTTCCTCATCTATAAAACAGAGATAATAATACTAACCCAGGGAAATGAAAATGAAAAAAAATTCAATAATCCTACTAACCCAGGGAAATGAAAATAGAAAAAAAAGCAATAAAAACTGATGTCAGTTGCCAATATACAAAGTATCAGAGCCTTCAACTAAAGCCTGCTATCCAAAATTGAGAAAGAAGACCTGATGATATTCAAAGCATCAGCTGCTTTACCTGGGGTTACTTCATCTTACTATTTTCAATATTTTAAAGATTGAATAGACTTCCAAAAAACATTAATTCTACAGGTTACACTTAAAATATCTATTAGAGATGTCGTATTGTTTTTCTTACTCCAAGGACTTAATGAAATTCACAAAGATAGATAAAACAGAAGTGAATCCAATGAACTAAAACTAAGTGGTGAAAATAATACAAAGGGAAAATAATGCCAGGGAGGGGAACATAGTTAGGACAAAGTTAGTACGCATGATAATACGATTTTTTTTTTCAAGTAGCCTGGTAAAAAGGGATAGTCTAATAGGCATTAATTTTCTTAAGTTATTAACTTTAAACGAGTGAGCACCTGATACAGTAAATCACAAAGACCATATGCTTTATAAATTTACTTTTCAAAGCTGTGAAGATGGGATTCATAATAGTCTTACGTACTATTATTGCCAAGCAATTAAGTGACAAATGATCAGGACTGGCTTATCTGTGTGGATCTGAAGTCATCAAGGAAAAGGTACCCAATGGGAAGAAAGTCCAGAGATGCTAGACAGCAAGTTGAAGAGAAGGACATTCTCTGAAGTCTGTCTTTGAGAGTTTATAATAACAGAGGGGGTGAAGCCCTGTCAAAAAGTGGAAGATATAGAAGACAAATCCTTGCTTTCAGGCCAGGAGAGCTAACCATCCAGTGATTTCTGCCAACTAATATATTCCCCAAATTAATGTTTTAAGCAGACTAGCCACTTAATGTCCCCCTCAACCCAGTTTTTATTGAGATGTGATGGACACTTTGTACTGCTTAAATTTCAGTTGTACAGTAATTTTGTGTACATAAATATTGGCAAATGATTACAATAAGGTTCATTAACAGATCATCTCCTCATGCAGTGTCAACTCTGTGTGTATGTTAATGTTTAAAATCTGCTCTCTTAGCAACCTTCAAATACACAACACAGTACAGTACTGATAGCTATAGTCACCATGCTGTACATTACATCTAGCCACTTAGTGTTTGTAGAGGAATGGTTTTTGACTCAACTATCACAGCTCCTCAAATGGACCTGCTACAAGGCAGATCTGTGAGATGTGCTACTCAAAGTTGGGTCAGCATTTGAATGCCTGAAAGGAAAAATGCCAGATAGATATAAAAAGTAGGAAAATATGGAAAGCATGCCAAGATGGGAATCCAACTTCTGCTTTGTGTTTTTAACCTATGCATTTCTTGGTATCAATCATGACAAAGACTGAAAATATTAGAGGCAGGTTAAGCCGGTTTGTTAACCACTTAATGAAACACTTGTAGGAACAACAGGTGGCTGAAGTTTAGAGCCAGAATCTGATGGAAGGGGATTAGAACCCATGAAAAAGCAGCGAATGAAAGAAGGCAGTGTTTAATCGAGTGTGGAATCAATTACTATGCTCTGTGGGTGCTGAAGCAGGAGAGATGAAAGTGAGGGACAGTGGGTAGAAAGGACTCGGCCAAGTTCCGAAAGACGACTTGGCTGGTCCAAGAGAGAGATGACAATTTGTCCAATTTTCCTCACTCTTTCCTCCTGACAGGACACATTTCAGAGTTTTACTCAGTTCTCTGGATTACTTGGAGCATTTAAAACACTGGGCACAAACTATGTGTTGTTTTGTATTTTCTCCCATTATTTCATGCATATTAATTTCCCAAGAATAGGAATATTTGGTATCTGTACTGAATACCCCATACAATGCCATGTACTAATATGGGTGTACACCAGTGTAGTGTGTGTATGTGTGCCCAAGGTTTGGGGTGAGGAACCCATAGGTAAAAGAAGCTTGAAGGATAAATCTGAGTGAGCCTGGGACTAGGTCACAAAATAGTTAACTTTGTTTGGCAGAATGTTACCTTCTCAAGACAATAGAAGGTCTAACCAAACCTTCCATGCCTAATTAACCATTCTCAGACACCTCAAATAGGGGGCAGCTTAAAGGTCAGCAAGACCCTTATTTCTTTTCATCTATAAATCCAAAGTACAGGTTACATTCAGGACTAAAACTCTACAAGCAAACCTAAATCCATACAGATTATTTCAGGTCAACCCACCCACTTGACTGTTTTGCTTAGTAGGTCTAAACTTTGCACTGAAACAGAGTTTGAGTTTTATGTCAGCATTCTTGTTGAACAAAGTAATTTTTTCTGGTGTGAAGGAAGCATTCACAGATACATCAGCAATACTCTGTGACCTGAAAGACATAAATGGAAACATATTTTACCACCAACTAAATGTGCTATAACCTTTACCTGGAGGATCCAGAGCCAACATTATCAAATTATTTTCTGCATGATCTAAGCACTTTAGCGGTATTTCATATTTGAAAGCCCTAAGATGGCAGGCAGGGATAATATCTTTTGTGTTTTGTGACTATATTGCCAGCCCAATCCACATTTATATTTGTTCAATGCATGCAGGAGCACAGGACGTGGGTCTGCAACCTCTTTGCAAATAAATTTCCAAAGTCACGGTCCCTATTGTGTTTGCCAGCTGGAAGCAGTGATGTTCCCTCTTCCCACAAATGGAGGGGAGAGCAGGTGAAGAGGAGGTGGCAGGGCTGAGGAGAGTCTCCCTGTCACCTCCCTTAATGATTGCCAGCAATTCTTTGATGTGTGCCTTATGACTATGATGGTGGCAACTAGTGTGATACCAGAAAGTGGTGGAGGCGTCTCTCTGGCAGGGTCCTACACATTTCTGACTCTGGCACAGCCCTTTAGATATCTGAAGGGCTTTCCCATACACATGGCCTCATTTGCTCCTATAACAGTCCTGTGAAATAGATCAAATATTGTCTCCCTTTTATTGGTGAAAAAGTCTGAAACAAACAAACAAAAAAAAAACATTTGGTAACTTCTCACTTTACCGAGTAACAGTTAGCAAGTAAGAAATTAGAACCCATGGTCTCCTAGTTCCTCTGCCAGTAAAATTATAACTTCATCATAATGACTCTTTGTGCACACTGTCCAGTATTTTCAAAGCAGCAAGTAGTAATGAGTAACTTCATTGTTTTTGAAAAGTACCACAAGAAGATGCAGAAAACATTTAAAAAAATGTACCATCTGAAGGACTTGAGTCAATTGAAAAAGTGTTTCATTCATTCATCATATACCTATGAGGCCCCCAGTAAGCAGTCATAAAACATCCAATAGCAAATAAGACCTAAAATGTCTAGGTGAGTGCTTTCTATAAGTCAATCTCTTTAAGCCAGTCTTTAATCCCAGTGTACATGGTGCCATTGAATGAAATGGTTTTGTAAACTTGTTTTTTAAAAATTATTCTCAGGAAGTTACCCAGAAAAATCCATCTCAGTACCTTATAAGAATGTGACCAGAGAGGCACCTGGGTGTCCCATTCAATTAAACACTTAGTTTTGGCTCAGGTCATGATCTCATGGTTTGTGGGCCAAAGCCCCACATCAGGTTCAACACTGATAGTGTGGAGCCTGCTTGGGATTCTCTTTCCCTCCCTCTCTCTTTTAAAATAAATAAACTTTTAAAAAAGTATTTAAAAATTTTAAAATAAAGAGTGTGACCACAAAATGGCATGAACTTAGCTTGACTAATCACTTAGTAAATTGATCTGACTCCATGTATCTTGACTTTTTGAAGAATGAGATCCATCTTCAAAGAAAAAAATTTGGCCCTCACTGAGTGTATTTAAAGGGAGCATCAAGGTATCTGGCTGGCTCAGTTGGTGGAGTGTACAACTCTTGATCTCAGGGTTGTGGGTTCAAATCTCATGTTGGGTGTAGAGGTTACTCAAAAAATATAATCTTAAAAAAGCAAAAAAAGGAGTGTCATAGTATAGTAATAATAGAGGCTACCAAGGATGAAGCCTACACCAAGATGGCTCAAGGTTGATGTTCACTGAAACATATGATTTCTTATAAAAATGTTTTCAAAATAAGTCATGTAACTATGTTATCATACCTTGTGTTTCTCTAATGACATATTACTCTTAACTAATTTTATTCAGTAAATAGATTTTAAAATTTCTCAGTCTTTGGTATTCCCAGGACTCCCCCCCCCATTAAGTTTTCATTAAAATGATGCACTCAAAATAATACATTTCATCTTTTAAAAGCACAAGTGAAATGTTGTAAAAAATTTAATGAAACTCAGAAACAACACATAAATTTGTAATGTTTTCCTGTTCTTGAAGTATTTGGACATTTAAAGCACATTTTCAACAGACAAATGAAAGAATGAAATATATTTTTGAGGAGGACTCGACCAAATTATTAATTTTCTTCTGATTCCAATCCCTGGCCAACCCCATATATTTATTTTTGTTCTTGAATCGCATAGCCCTGGAATCCCTTATTGTTCCTCCCTGCTCTTCAACTCCTACTGAGGTCAATGGGAGGTCAGCTAAACCTAAATAATGGCTTCTTGTTTAGGACTAATAATTTCAAAAGTTACTTCATAACCACATGAGAAATTACACTTTACTTGTGTGGTCTGAATGTTCAGTATTTTCTAGGGTATTCTCATGAGGCTTCCTTTCTGTGAGCTGAGGTAAGGCTATGTGGAAGATAATACTCAGGAATATCTTGGATACCATTTCAATTTTTTTTAATGTTTTTATTTATTTCTGAGAGAGAGAGAGACAGTGTGAGCAGGGGAGGATCAGAGAGAGAGGGAGACACAGAATCTGAAGCAGGCTCCAGGCTCTGAGCTGGCTGACAGTACAGAGCCCGATGTGGGGCTTGAACCCATGAACCATGAGATCATGACCTGAGCCGAAGTCGGATGCTCAACCAACTGAGCCACCCAGGCGTCCCTTGGATACCATTTCAAAGTCTTTGTCTTTTCTGTATACTTTTTCTACTGACCATGTGGAGAAGAGGAACTTGATGGCAACATTAAGCAAATATATATTTTTTTCTCCCACAAGGAAAAACACATTTCTTCCTTTATGTAAACTATGACCCACAAATGTCCTGGAGTCTTTTATAATGCATGTGGTAATTCCACAATTCCTGCACAGCTCTCTGCTGCTCTACTTAGCAGGTCATTTTTCAGTTAGCTAGTTTGTGTCTGGCTCTCCATGGACTCACCAGAGCTGAACCACTTGTCCAAAAGCTCCAATGGACACATCGGTGATGGAATCCCCATTTAAATCACTGTAGCCATCCAAAGATCTCCCAAAGTATTGGAGATGGCTCCTAAAGGCTCCATCAGATCCCAAGATTTTCTGAAAGAGCAAGTTTGACATAAACTTATAATGCAGGACAACTAAAGTAGAAGAAAGGGAGCTCCTATCTGGCACTGTTAGATTCTCTATTTAGCTACTTCTCAGGTTGTTTTATTCTCCACAAAGTTCCATTGGTTTTTCAATCACAACCTTTCCTATCTGTTGATCATTTTCACAGCCATGTCAAAGAACCACCATGAATTTTTTAACATAAAAATCACAAAGCATCATGAGAGGAGTGGACTGAGTGGGATTTGAAGCAAGCTCAGGTTGTGATTCCTCTCCTAGCTCACTTCTTTCAGGACTTCCCTGGAAAGTTGCCTGATCAGTGAGGTCCTCTTGCTCATCCTTTAGAATACCTGGAAACTCCCATCCCTGAACTTGAAAATATATTTTTTAATTCCCTATCATTTATTCTGATCTGGACCATTTTATCTCATTTATTTTCCCCCTGTCTTGACAAAAACTTAAGATCCACAAAGAGGAGAATTTTGTCTGTCCTGTTCCTTATAGTATCTCCAGAACCTAGGACTGGTTCACTAAATGGTTGTTTGTTGAAGGATAAAGTACTAAATTAAGTGGGATGGATTGGACTGTCTGCATGGTTAGTCCCTAGCTCTAACAGGATGATACTCACATGTCAGTACATCACCATGGAACTCAGGGATTACCTGGGAATAATTCATGTGAATGGTGCCCTCATGACCATTGTAGATGTACACAGCTCCAGAGTTCTGATTTTCCAAGGGTGAACCAACTATTACATCATTAAAACCATCCATGTTGATATCTGAAAGAGCTGCAATCGCTGAACCAAACCGAGAATTTTCAACACCATCAGGGCCTTCAAGAAATTGGTGCCAATTCAAAATGCCCTTGAAAAGGGGAAAAGGGGATGATTAAAGCAACTCTTATAACTTTTATCATTAAAATCACAGCAAATGATGCCCGAACCCATTTATAAACTGTCAAAAGTAGACAATTTTAAATCTATATTTCAAAATTCTCTGTTGGGATAAGCACTGGGTGTTATATGGAAACCAACTTGACAATAAACTGTAAAAAAAGAGGAACGCCAAAAAACCCCAAAAACCAAAAACCAAAATTCTCTGTTTATGGTGACAATTATACCTAAGAATTCTAGCAAGTAAGCTTATAGGATAGGTGTTCATAGACCAAAGTGAAAGGAGGGAATTCTCTTTACTGTGGCTGCACAATTTACATAAAACTATCCATGTCTTTGGCTCATTTTCCCCTTAATATTAGAATCTTCACTTATTTCCAAACCTTTTTATTTGAAATTTGCTGATGAAAATATATTAATATCTTGACTAAAATTAAGGTGGAGACACAAAAACACAATGTCTTAATTTAAACCTTTGCTTAAAAATTACTGACCAGTGGCATAACTATAATGGGATAGGAAGTCGAAAATGAGACAGGTTCTGGTTCAAGATGGCAACCCTGAACTCACTTCCTCTATGGAACATACCAAACTATACCTATTAAAAGGATAATTCCTCCTGAGAAAGAACTGAGGGCTGACTGAACAGCTACTAAACAATCAAAGATAGAAAAAATGGCAAGAGAACAACCAGAAAGATGGAGGCTCAGTAACACAGGGAAACTAATGCAGTGGGAATACATAGTACTGAGAGACTAGGAACAGATTCCTCTATTGTTGGGCACAGAAAATAAGCCACAGTTTAAACGAGCAATTAGTATAGAAGATGTGGCATGTGCATCTGTGAATATATATGTATATGTATAATGGAATATTACTCTGTGATCAAACAGAATGAAATCGTGCCATTTGCAACAACATGGATGGAACTAGAATGTATTATTCTAAGCAAAATAAGTCAGAGAAAGAAATAGCATATAGTTTCACGCATATGTGGAATTTAAGAAACAAAACAGATGAACATAGGGGAAGGGAAGGAAAAACAAAATAAAAATAGAGAGGGAGGCAAACCATAACAGACTCTTAATTACAGAGAACAAGTGGAGTGTTGCTGGAGGGGAGGTAGGTGGGGGGGATGGGTGCTAAGGAGGGCACTTGTTGGGATGAGCACTGGGTGTTATATGAAAGAGATGAATCACGGGGCACCTGGGTGGCTCAGTTAAGCGTCCGACTTCGGCTTAGGTCATGATCTCACGGTTCATGGGTTCGAGCCCCGCATTGGGCTCTGTGCTGACAGCTAGCTCAGAGCCTGGAGCTTGCTTCAGATTCTGTATCTTCCGGGGGTATAGCTCAGGGATAGAGCATTTGACTGCAGATTCTGTATCTCCCTCCCTCCCTCTCTCTCTCTCTCTCTCTCTGACAACTCCCCCCACCCACCGTGTGTGTGTGTGTGTGTGTGTCTCAGAAATATTAAAAAATTAAAAAAAAAGAAAGATGAATCGCTAAATTCTACTCCTGAAACCATTATTACACCACATGTTAACTTGGATTTAAGTAAAATAAAAAATCAATTAGCATATAAAAGAGACAACACTAGATATCTGCCACATAGTGGAGGCAGTTTAAAAGGGCCAAGGAGTGGTAGGAATATTCTCTTCCCTTTTACTTTAGAAGTGCAGACTGGAGCAGGGTCTGAACACCCTAACTAGTGGGTTCAGATGTCATAGCAGGCAGGCCTCAACATTATTAAAAATTTTTTTTTAATGTTTACTTATTTTTGAGAGAGACAGAGAGAGAGAGAGAGAGAGAGAGAAGCAGAGAGAGACAGAGAGACAGAGCCTGAGTGGGGGAGGGGTAGAGAAAAAGGAGACACAATCTGAAGCAGGCTTCAGGCTCTGAACTGTCAGCACAGAGCCCAAAGTGAGGCTCACACTTGAGAACAGCAAGATCATGACCTCGACTAAAGTTGGACACTTAACCAACTGAGCCACCCAAGTGCCCCATGGTCTCAACACCATAAATGGCAGGTCCAGTCATAACAGGAAGCCTGCCAGCTCAGCAAGCCCAGGGTCTGCAAGCCCACACCTTCTGTGTGTACAAGCTTCTGTGGTACAAGGACACAGAAAATAAGCTGTGGAATTTTAGGATTCTCTTTGTTTTTGTTTCAAATTTAATTAAAAAAAACAAGTTTTATTTTTAAAATGTAAACTGGTACAGCCCCTCTGGAAAACAGTGTGGAGGTTCCTCAGGAAACTCACAATAGAACTCCCCTATGACCCAGCAATAGCACTGCTAGGAATTTACCCAAGGGATACAGAAATGCTGAGGCATAGGAGCACATGTACCCCAGTGTTCATAGCAGCACTCTCCACAATAGCTAAAACATGGAAAGAGCCTAAGTGTCCATCAACAGATGAATGGATCAAGAAGATGTGGTTTATCTATATGATGGAATACTAC